GGTCTTTAAACTGCTAATCTTTATTTTATAGTTTGGTGCACGAAAAAAAAAATTGAAAAACCCTGGTGCATCACCTTTACGTCTTACCGATCAATAATTTCACAACTGCAAATGAAATCATCACCCCAATAAGCCCTACACTGACGCCTTAAGTCGCCATAACTTTGGTCATAATGCTTTGGGTGACTTTAGGCGATTTAAGGCGACCTAGGGCGACTTAAGCAACATTAATTGGCAGAAAAAACATTACGACTTTAGGCGATTTAAGGCGACTTAAAGAGATTTTATATGACTGAAGTGATATAATCAAAGTTAGCAACAGTCTCTCCATAAACCTTAAAAATATTTACAGAATCCCTTGCAAAACACAACATGATTAGAGTGGGGTGTATGGGGTCAATTGGGAAGGGTGGAACCCTTATAACATTGCGTAAGCAATAGCGACTTCGGGCAACTTAAGGCGACTTAAGGCGACTTAAGGCGACTTTAGGCGACTTAAGATAACTTAAGGTCCCAATCACAGGGAATGCGTGACCAAACAATCATTTTAATGATCGCATGAATCTCTAATTTCTCGCGGTTCGTCAGCTTCGTTCGACAGCGAATTTCTGAGGGATGATTGCTGATGTGATGCAAAGATTTATATTCTATGCCAGCGAAGACAGGTTGAAAAATCGAGGCCATTCAGCTGGACAGATCGGGGTACTTAAGAAAAAGGGTGTAATGCCTTAAACACCCAATTTATGCATTTTCAGATCCCTTTCTGTCTGATTATTCCATCGCCAACCGGTCCTGACGTTAGCATCATCAAACGTGAGAATACTTCAGCAAAGAAGGGTTGTTTCCTAAATTCGATCGTTTCAGTTCCACCATCAGCCAGCTGTCAGACCACGAATTTGAAAGAACAGAAAACTATGACGCCAGAAGAACAACTGAAGGAAGAATCTGCTGTCTCGTAAGATTTAGAACCGATACAAATTATTAAAGTGGATTTCGCGCCAATCTGATAACGATGCCTTTTGATGCAGTGTCTTTAACTTAAATTCCAAATTAATTTCAAACGAGTGAAACTTAGAATGAGATGCTGTGTTAAATGTCTCCTTCGCCAGAACACTGGAAAAGGAATCGTCAATCAACAATTATTGGATTCGGTTTTCACATGATAGCGATAATTATCAAGGCCAAGGTTTGTGTTATCTGCCGAAGCCGAAGGCTGAGACAGATAAGATAAACTGAGGCCTTGATAATTATCGCTATCATGCGAAAACCGAATCCAATAATTGTTTTATTATGCATATTCCTGAGCTGCACTTGTGAAGAAAAGAGCGCATAAAACTATTGTCAGTAGTTAAGACGTCACTTCTCCACATATAAAATCTATTGTTTGTAGGTGTGACGGAAAAGAATGTATAATAATAAATTTGACGGTATATATTCTATGAATTCTGAGCCACTGTACGCCATTCGTTTTCGTAATGAGATTTTATTCCTGTATATCTACCATTTCATACCATTTTGCAGTGCGCACTACTATCAAACCAAGACTGGATGATATTATAATTATATGTCAAATTCTTACCTTTCGCGGATTATAAATATTATTGAAACTCGTTGATTTACGAGATAAAACTTCAGTTTAAATGAACATCTACTCCATAACTAATGAAGCCCAAGTCTCTCTTCGTCCCTGCTGGGTAATGATTGGGCCTAAGTATGAATACTATTAGCTATCCAAGCTGGCAAGAGATAGGGATAAGGCAGATGGCCCTCCTTGAATCTCTGCTTATTCCTTTGGGTTATTATAGGCGTCACTTTGCCGTGCAGGCGGCCTTGATACTTCTGAAGGACAAACTTTCCTTCTTCGTCCGGGAATTTTGGCACGAAGTCTAAGAGAGAGTCGTAACGCATTGCTGCCAGAGTCATAGCTAATGCTGACTGAGTCTGTAGAGAAACAATTAAATAAAATATGATGACCGCTGAGTAAATATATCTTATTAAACATTTTTTTGTGTAGCATCACTGAGTATTTTTACGAGTTGTGCTGTATTTTGACGAGTGCGTAGAGCGAGTCAAAATACAAACAACGAGTAAAAATAAAGGGGATAAGTTTCTAAAGAAACTGTGGTGCTGCGTCGGTGGGGGTAAAGAGGTAATTTGGTAATATCAACTAAGTTGAAATAGTGAATTGGCCACCGTAAAGAGTTAAAAAGCTGACGTTTTGAGCGTTAGCCCTTCGTCAGAGCGAAGGGCTAACGTTCGAAACGTCAGCTTTTTAACTCTTTACGGGGGCCAATTCACTATTTCAACTTAGCTGATATTACCAAATTAACGAGTAAAAATACTCAGCGATATTACACAACAAAATGTTTAATAAGAGATTTATTATCCAACACGCCAAATTGTTATTTCAGTGCGGGCTAATTTCGCGGATATTTATTTACGGGAGTGCGATGCGAGAAGTCCTGTCTAACCAGTTCTCTGGAGTACAAATAACGCGAAATATTTGTGTTCATTTTGAGCGTTATTTGTACTCTACGAATCACAGCTGGAAAATAAGAAACTTTCTTTCATCCTAAGTAGAGGCCCTCCGGAACCGGGAATATATGAATTGGAAAAGTTAAGGTGCACTTTGCGAAGACACGAGTGTCCAGTCTTGTCTTTTGTTTACAAGTAGGCGCCTGATATAAGAAATACTTACCATACTAGTGAACATCCTAGGGAGATTACTGAAGCCATAATGACCCGCACCTGCCACCTCATCTTTGTACAGTTTTGTCGGCGAGTTAAACGTCAAAGCACCGTAATGATCCACGGGATAGTTGATGGCACTGTGTTGGGCACTCGTCATCCACATAATTCGAACTAAGTGTCTCGTTAGACTCAACTTGGATGTAATTTTGGTTGGAAAGTCCTTCACCTAAGGGAAATTTTATACAGAAAGTCGGATACAAACCTTAATTTAGACAGGCAAAACATGGAGTCATAATACTTCCGTATAAATAAATAAATAAATAAATAAACTTTAATAGCTAACACAATTACTGGTAACCCAGGAGTTTACATTATATAGACGCCTCATTTGATGGTTTAACATACAATACGCGCGGAGATTTTGCAAGTCGCGTTTCTCATTAAGTGAATCAAGCGATCATCTTTTTCTCAGACTCTCGAGAGGATGCGATATACATTTATCAAGGTTTTACTAGTCCCAAACATTAAAGAAAAAGAGTTGAACATTGAAAAACAAACGAGATCATTTTTTATGCGTATCGAGGTCCTTAGAAATGTTATTGAAGGTTATGTCGAGTACTTGATTTATCCTTTCAGTGTAAATTTAGAACTGATGCAGACAAACTTAGAGGTTAGTTCGTGAAAATCTTTGTTTATAAGCTCAGGCGCACTTCTGACGACATTTATTTTGCTCCACCACATATCTCGACAAAATCTGTCTCCGCCAAGTCTTCAATTTGTCAATCGTGAGTGGGTGCATCATAAAACGGCAAAATATTTTTAACCAGCAGCTGTCACTTAAGAATATACAAATTGAGCCGTACTTGGAGCTGGGGTTCAGGTTAAACGTAAACTTGGGAGCCATGATAGTTGCATTCTGAATATCCTTAGTACTGATTTTCATCCGCCGTCTTAACAGTTTGATTCCTGCATAAAAATTGAACATTTTGGAGGCCTTCTGTCTTAAAGACTCGCATTTAAAAAGCGCGAGATAATTTTTTTTCTTTTTACTGATTAACGTATTTCTTCAAATCGTGACTTGAAAATTGAGGAATCTGTCAGTTTTCATGCTTGATAAAAACTTGTCCTGCTCTGAGGCAGGACGACGGCGCCTTCAAAGATTGGTAAGCTTGACAAAATTTGCTAGGATAAAAAAAAAGCAGCGGGCGTTCTAGTCTCACTAAACTGATGACAGATTTTTTACAAAATAAATGAAGATTTGCAAAGTGCACCCTGCCCCTATCATTCTGATTATGATATCAGACCCGATTTCACAATCTCCACCATTTTTCCCATTCGTTTGATAACTTTCGGACGATTTTTCCATCTCCTCCCTGATTTCCTTCTCCTAGGCCTATCTGTAGTCACGTGACAGTTTTACCTTTCCAGATTTCACAGAGACGTCATATGCGAAATCTTGCAGCTCTTTGTCCTTCCTGACTTCTCTGCAGGATCTGTAGTACCTTCAATGACACCGCGAACGTTATAGATCAGCGGAATAAAATAATCCAGAATGATCTACTTCGATCGCATATGGCTCCTGTTCAACTAATACCCAAAACCAATGGTTATTAGATTCTGAAAATCCACAATTTGATAAATAGTTTCCATAGCGTGTTAGCCCTTGGTATTTGGTTTGTTAGATCTCAGAGCAACTGCGTTAGTATCCGAGCGACTGCGCACCTACCCCTCCCTTAACCCAACAACAGTCAACTGATAACAAGTTAGGAATAATATTGGGTTAGGGAAGAGAGGGGTGGGTGCGCAGTCGACCAGATGCGACATTGACCCAAAGTTTTTATTTTTTTTATCACACTGCTGATAAAATTGCAATGTATAATTTCAACCAACTTCAGTCAAGAGAAGAACTTACGAAAGAGGACCTTCAAACTTCATCTGGATGTTCAGTCTTTAACATCATCGGTGACACAAACTTTTTTAACGGTCAGAGGTACGACACATTCGTAGTAATTCTGGAGGTTATGTTTAAAGTTAGAAAGACCCATTTTCGTACCTTTGACTTTTTCCAAGGACGAAACAACTCTTAAACACTTACTTCCCGACGAATTCTTTGACCATATCCGACAGCTCATGATAAATCAGTTCTCCATCGTCTCTGTAGGGAAAGTATGGCAATTTCTTCTTGTCTCCTAGGCCTCGTTTCTAGCAAAAAAACTTTTTAGATGAGCTTGATGCAGTCTTGTAAGACTTTGCTTTCCTTTGATTTTTGTTTATTTGTTTTTGTGTTTGTTTCTTTTTCCAATGAGTGCTTTTTACACCTTCTTCAGTTGTCCATTATGTTTTAAGGAACACGATTTATATAAAAAATTTAATAGATAATTCAGCACCAACCTCAATGTTGGCTAAAAAATCCGTTTCTTCCCAGGAAAGGTCTTTATAGGCTCTTTTCATCATTGTCAAAGCACCTTGTAGACCAACTGACATGAGCTTTTCGATGGATCCATTACCCGGTGCCATCAGAAATGGATATCCAAGCGCGTTTGTTCCAAGCAGACCCCTACAATGGTGCTTTAGTAGCTGGTGAAGAGGATGCAATTTTGACAGGCGCCGATGCATGCAGACACAGATAGGCTCCATATACAAATGGATTTTGTAAAGATGTTCCACAATTTGAGTTTGAGCGAAGTCTGCAACTTGGAGCACATGTTTAGCCATCTGCCATAACTGGCTATTTTCTGGGGTATAAACTGGAGAATCTAGAGGGAATAGAAGTAAGATGGGAAGTTTTTACATGTTAGATCTGATTAATGCAACAGAATACCGCTTGCTGAGGGTTTTCCCTGTCTCTGCATTCTTTGGCATCATAAGAAATCAACAAAGCAACAAATTCAGTGGTGTTGGATGTACAACTGGAATCTATCATTAATTGGAACAAAGAATAAGATACGAGGTTTTATTGATATGTTTTCGCAAAGTGTGAAATCCATCCAGCATTTATGTCGTGATTTGTTGGTAGAGAGTTTTCCAGTATAATTTCGTGGTACTGTGGTAAATATGCAAACGTATAACTTTGTGGATATGTTACCTGGGGAACTGTTTATCTGAATGGCCACTGGTTTTAGCCTGTTTGGGAGCTTTTGATGACTGGGTTTAGATGCAAATATGGCGATTGGTGAGTTTGCTTCCATCAGTTCTCCAAGAGGATCCTTCACCGTATTTAGTCCGTCATATAAGGGATAGTGTACCACGAAGATATAACCTCCGCGTATTGCCTGTTACAGGTGCAAGAGCTTTGAATTAACCTTTGCCGCTTGCGTATTTGAGACGTCTTTGTACAAATTTGAGCACGCATTTCCTTAGATTCATACTTTGTGCGTTGTGTTCTCTTTTCCATGCGGGGTGGGGAAGGGGGACGATTAACGCTCCTATTTCGGAATTAAACACAGCCGCTTTCAATTGAATGAATGACTAGGAAGACATTCTTCAACTTAGGTAGTTACAAATTGGAGGCATCTAATTCTTAAACAAGCTTCGGTCGAGACGAATACATCATCTTGCGTACTCAACCTCGTCCCAAGCACTAGATTTTAGAGAGAAAGGCACATTCAAGGGAAAAGCGCCTTAGGGTCGAGTCTGGGTGGCACCAAGGAAATGTAAACTGCGAAACAGAAATCTTTTACAAACCACTTCCAAACCCACCCTCTCCCCATCCCCCTCGAAACAGAACCATGCTACTACTTCAAACGCAACAAGCTAGAAGTGTTATAAAGAAAGAATGTGACATCAGAACCCATAAATAATGTCCCCAAATGGCACACGCACCCGATTAACTGATATACTCTTTCCAAGCACGTCTTGTATCGCTCCTTGCCAGTCGAATCTTGGGTTTAACTTTCCACACAATTTTTTCCAGCTCACTCCTCCTCGCTTGCCTGAAAGGTTCAAATGAAAAGAAATATCTAGAAGGATGAAAAGCCTTTAAAGTGAAGTGATTTATGTCATGATCTCTATGAGTGCGCTTTGTAAGTTATCATCCAAATGATGGCCTGATCACCTGGACTCGAAACCCTCTGAATGGCCATTGGGTTCATACCAGCCAATCGCTGATCAGTAAAGATGTCATCATCTCTCCAAAGAGACAGATCAGATACATCTTTAAATGGGTTGCTCGTGTCTTGAAAAGCAAAACGAAAAAACTTTTGGTCTTCCTACGAAAAAAGAAATAAGCTCATTAAACTCTACGACAAACTGTTTAAGAAAGGTCATGCAGACCTAATTAATGCAGTCAACTATGACGGTCATAGGTGACAACAAATTTAAGGAAACGATGTAATTCTAAAAAACCATAATATAACCTGCTTCCTTTAGATATATTTTATAGTCAGCTACTTGAAGCCCTATACACAGGTATCTCCGGGTAGTTTAAAACTATCAAAACTCGAGATTTCATTAGAGAAGCATTAGCTAATTCATGTAAATATCGCTAAGAGTAATCCATACCGGACGGACAAAGTGTTGATGTCGTTGACGATCAACGAAGAACTTGTATACTTTATTGTAATCAATATCTTTTCCTCCCGTTAAATTATTAAGTAAAAAGAAAAGACCAAAGTTTTTGTAAATAGTTTGGTTGTACAATGAGATCCAGTGATTATCCAAGGGGTCTTTTTTCAGCATGAGGAACACTTCCGCTGTGTTCTTGTTAATGCGTGGAATTTTTAAGTAGTCATCGCCTTTGCTGAGTTCGTAATCCTCTCTGGTTTTAGCTGTTTCATGTTGTCTCTGTGTCTGGCATGATTTACTGGCTTTGTCCGAAGACTCAATTGGACAGGCAATGGCTGTCAGTGAGAAAGATAAAATATCAATTTCGAGAATGTTAAAGGGAGGAATGTGTTTCAGTTGTTGTTAAAATTTCGTTGTTTAATAATAATGATAATAATAATAATAATAATAATAATAACACCTTTATTTAGACACGATAATGTTTAAAGCTGAACAGCTTGTGGGGTCGTGTGTAAATCCAAATTAACTCTGAATTAAATAAATTCAAATGATGATGGTTTTTGAGGAGAGGGGAAAGCCGGAGTACCCGGAGAAAAACCTCTCGGAGCAGAGTAGAGAACCAACAAACTCAATCCACATATGACGCCGGGTCCGGGAATCAAACCCGGGACACATTGGGGGAAGGCGAGCGCACTCACCACTACGCCAACCCTGCGTTGAACCCTTTTCACTTTCAATATATTGTTTGTATATCTCTGGTCTAGCAATGATAAGTAGGAGAGAATCTATCTTAACTTTGGTTTTCCATTGATTGAGAAGCCATTTTCCGCAGATTTACGTACTTAAGTTAACTAAGGTAAGTTTAGCTTTAACGTTTCACTTAGACTATCTTCCTGTTAATATTCAAATGGACATATCTCGGTGTATTCATAAATTCTATTTTGAACAGGAACCTTCAGTGAGAGAAAAGGCTCGAACAGAGTCGTTTCAACACAATAACTTAACTTTTTTCCTTACAGCAATTTCTAATTGTGAGTCGAATCACATCGGTTTGACTTAAGTTCTCCTGGCGGTAGATTTAGATAACTAGCATCACCTTAACAAATCAAATGCCAACTTAAAGCGATCGCGATTTGCACTCGCGCGTTTTCTCACGCTTTAGCCCATTACGTAGGAGCACTTTGAGTTCTTATTGGTCTCCTCTGTGATTTATCTTTGTTAAAACAGCGTGATTATTGGACCCATGATTGCGCTTCCTTTGGTTTTGTTTACTGACAACCGATCAGAAGGCACCTTTAACTTCGCGTAGGAATACAAACTGATATCTGACCTGACAGCTTAAGCGAGTACAGTTCCACAGAATCCTCTCCTCCCACACCATTTCTGCAGGTAACAGAAGTTTCAGAAACCATTCCTTGCAGATTGCTTCCACCTTTACACAAGCCTCCTTGAAAAAGACCAAACTCGGAGAAACCTCTTTTTAAGGCAAGCTCAGCGCATTCGCTGATAGCAAAATTACCAAGGTATCCGAGATTAACACCAGCATCTTGCATTGACTTTGCTTCGTAGCATCCTTCACTTTGGTATAACTGTGGATCTAAATTAAACGGAAAAGAGTTTCTGTTTGTTAACGGAAGTTTAAGCTACTGTTTTGACTGTTTTAATCCTTGACAGCCCAGTATCAATGTACAATTATCCAGGGCCAGTAACTTACAATTCCCTCTTCTATCACTTTGCATTATTGGTGAGGAGACACGATCTGCTACATGAAAGGTGAAAACATAGGAAAGTACGGGCTTTTTTACATCAATTTTGAAACCAATGGTGATCCTCGCAATCTGATTGGCTCTTTTTGATGCGATTTATTCACGAATCGCACCGGTTTTGGCCCTAAATCGCATCTTTTCCTCAACCTGCGAGAGATCTTTATTAAAACACAACGACTAATCTTATTCCAAGGCTTGTTTAAACAACTTTTTCAAACCAGCTCAGCTCCGGATCCATGATATGCTGAATTTTGCGATTTCGAAATGCATGTAAAAAATTAGTAATTAAACTTTGCATCGTGCAATTTTGGTATGAAATCGTGCTTGCGATTTCAAATCAAACTCGCGCTGCACGCTCGTCCAATTTCGAAATCACTTGTATGAATTCGGACCAAATTGCACTCCACTCAGTTTAACCACCATTTTCAATCAAGTGCAATCGCCATTTTTGGCCTAAAGAGCTTCAAAAAAAGGAAAACCTCGGCCATTTAACCTTCCAAGTATAAAATAGTGCCTTTTGAAAAACTGATTTAAGATGGTGAAAAGAGCTATTGAATTTCACCAAAAATAACCGGATACAATTATGCTTGAGAGCTCCTACTTATTTTCATACACAAGTGTCGTCTACTAATTACAGACGCCGTTTCGCATCTGCCGGATTAATATTTTGATGACTCAAAAGTTCAGTCCGCTGACGGAACAATGAATCGGTAGTCAAGTCTGATAACAGGGACCTCAAGAAACTACAACAGCGACGCCGTGGACAACGTCAGTTAAAAAACCAACTTCTATTTTACCTTCGAATATCGTGATACTCTTAAGTCATTTAGTTTGTTTCTCACTGTCAAAACTATTACAAAACTGAATATGGAACACAGCGTTAAATTATATATGGAAATTAAAAAAAAACAAATAGTCGTCGTTGTTCACTTTCCGTCTAAATAACGCAAAGTTTGGTAATTTTCGTTGTTGTTGAGAACGCAACGAAATTAACAAACATTTGTAACGAACCTTTTGTTTAATGACGTTCCCGTTGCTGTTGCATTCTTGGTTTCCTTAAACTCCCTAACAAGGGTAGAGTGGCCCTACCCAAAAGTTTACAACTGGGTAAAACTAATTCTGATTTTGGTGTCCAGGCGAAATTATGAACATAAAAAAGGTCACTTCCGAAACATTCATGACCTGAGTTTAAGATGACACGCAGAATTTTCCCCAACAAGAAGAGTAAGGTCTGGTTCAAATTATATTTGCATTCCCAGGTGATGTGTCAATTCTCTCTGAGTCACTGTTGAACCTTCTTCACGAAGAAGACAATGTACACCCACAGCCACTGTGAAGAACTGTTTCAGTAATGTCCACGTGGCAACCAGTAACACTCGGATAGATAATGTAACATGGCTCATCATGCCAGAGAACAGGTGACTGATGTTTATAAAAAAAAAATAAAAAAAAAACATGTATTCTTGTCGAATCTCCACCTAGACACCAAAACTTTGCACGGATAGCGAAAACGTATGGATCTTACAAGAGGAACCTTGAATGAAAAACTCCAAGTAAACTGGGTAAAAACATGTTGTGTTTGTTTTTCAATTTTTCTACAAATTTTGATAAAAATGTAATATTTTTTTGTTAGGAATACTCGCCTTAGTAATTGATCTTTCTGCCATGGTAAAATTCATTAAAATCTTCAGCGGGCTATCGTTGCATGTTCTTTTCATACGATTGCAGGTGGCCTTGGAGAAGGTCACGAAAATTTGAAACAAGTGTCTTTCAAACTGAGGGTGAAAATGAGGACATAAAAGGCCACATGGATTGTAGTTATGGTAGCCATTTACTCAAGGAATAAAATTTACAGGGAACAGATGCACTCGACATAAACTAATCTAACTAAATGTCATCTCTCGGTTTTCTTTGGCCAACTGTTATTTCTAGACCAGTGAAAAAGCAAACAATCTCAGACAGAGACAAAGTCAGTGTTTTTACTGAAATAATTACTAAAAAAAGAAATTCTTGCGACCTTACAAAAATCAACGTGTTAAAGAAGCCTCCTGATAACTTTCCTTGTTAGTTTCTATGTTTCAATTGAATAGCGGCGACTCATTGGCGCTTAGCAGCGTTGTAAAGAAAAACAATCAGTTATGTTTTTCGCAAGTATATGAATGAAAACGGCAGGTTTGATTGCTGAGGTATCTCGAGTCTTCAATAACTGAGTCGTAAATAGCTACAACTTTTCTAGAGGGCCATAGGCTCGACCCCTGCCTGATGCACCTAAAATTTCTTTGACTTGTCTTGAATGTTATCGAGGAAAACTCACCCGCGGTCTGTGAAGACCCTGTTCAGTTTGCGTTTATTCCCCCCCTACCGTGAACACCAACATTAAACCCGCTCCTGAAAACTGGTGATACACGCGATGAACGATTTGTACTTGACATCTTGAAAAGCGACCAAAAGTAGCCGAGTTTTCGAGAATATGTTCGAGTTAAATAAGATCAGTGATAACCCAGTGTGACAAGGTCTGCCGGCTTTCAGAGATGATAGCTTCAATTTGAGCCATTCACTGAATGACTGGAGAACAAGCAAGTAGAAATGGGTGAAATGGGTTTTGGGCACGAGGCATTATGCAATAAGATGAATTACAAAAGCGAAGTAGCACGTTTTGTTTGACTCTTCCTAAAAACTATAATTCATCATCCAAGATCGTTGTGTCCTCGGAGTTGGCTTCATTAGTGTAACTAAGTATAAAATTTCATTCGCATGTTTAACAGGAATTAAGAAAAAAATCCTAGCCTCTTCTTACCTGAGTTTTTGAGAGCTCCTTTGTGTCCTAAATCGGCGGTATTAGAAGTTTTTGTAGGGGCCACCAAAATGAAGAACAACGTCAACTTGCTTAACATGATGATGAAAAGTAAACTGGAGTATGGAGGACTTGAGGGTTTAATAAAACTGTTTGCTATTAGTGTTCGTGTTACAAACTTGACAACCTGTCACGGGTCGGAGGTACTATAAAAAATTAAAAATAAACAATTGTTTTTTTTTTTTTTCTCCTGCCTTGTTACGGAGGCCCGGCGGGTGATAAATAAAAAAATAGTCGTTCTTAGAAGAATAGGCAAGTTTGAAAAAAAGATATACTGTTCACTTTTACATATTTCCAGGCCTTAGTTACGCAGTACAGTAGTTAAGTAGAATTCTAGTAAAATTAATAGAAGGTTTTCACTGAGCCCGGAACATTCGTACTTTTCTTAAAACAACGTCTATCGTTGTGTTTAATTCGGCTAGTAATTCAGAGTAGTTTGTCGAGCAATTTTTTTAACCGTGCTGGGTGCCTGTGTGCCTCAAAAATTAAATAAATAAAAACAGAAATGTGCTTCTTAACAAATTTCTGAGCTAATGAACGGACGGAAGAAGTAGTAAACTGACAGCCATGAGCGTTTAGCTGGCTCTCTTTGATTCAGCAAGCTGCCTTTTCATCTTTGGACATTTCACATCTCGTTTATTCGCAGCAAACAAAACAAGGCATCATCTTAAGAATGAAGTTCATTGTTTAATGGACTTTTCCCATTCCAAGGTAGACATTAAAACAAACCATTACCAGAGAAATTTCGCTGACTCATGTTTGAACAAGAATGATTACAATCTTCAAACTCTTACATCTTGCTGGTCTGCAGGAACAAGATCCTCAATTGAAGAGAACTTTAAATCATTTCTGTCAAGATGTGGTCACTTCGGATGCCACTGTGTATGAAATACCTAGTTACCTCGGTAGCACTACAGTCTCTTAAAAACACACCTTATTTAGTTAACTCATCTTTTGTCATTGAATTGTATCGGCTTATCATCAATTCTCATCGTTTTGTCAAATTTTGAACAAATCTGTTATGAGCCACGTTCAGAGCCACCTTGAATTTATCAAAACATGAAGGTGGCTCTGACTTGTCAGTACATAAAGACTGGATAGATTCTGATACGTGATATGCTGATGCAGTTCAGTGCTAAATGTGTGAAAGCCATGATCCATCGAAGAATTACTGTTAAAAGATAACGAAACCATTTCGAGCCACCCTGAAATTATACGGAATGTGGGAAATTATCTCAAAAACAACTGTTAAAAATTTATTCGTTAAAGTTTTTCTTGAAACCATGCTAACTGAAGAGCGTTCAGCATGTAATGAAAATATTCTTTGTTATTCTTCGTTACTCAAGTCCAGTATTGAAAATATCTCTAAGAAACTCATAAGACAATAAGTTTGTTTTCAATTTCAAAGCCAACTGGAAATCAATTCCTCTTGAAACAAAGCTGAGTCAATCCCATATGCTTTTTTATGCAAGCTGCGTAAGAAATCAAATTGGCACAGACAATAATTTTTACACTAACATACATACATACGTTAGTTGACCACTCCCCATGGGGGCTTTTCAGGGCCAATTTCCACCCATCCCACCCCAGGGGAGGACAACCACGACACAGTAATCTCGTGCGTGGGAAATTAACGTCTCCTACCCCTAACACTGCAGGAGACGGGGCGTACGGTTTATTCGTCCTTATCCGAGAAGACTAGAATATCTATCCATTTCTTGATTATAGAAAGGTAGCAGATTATCCTCACTTATTTTAAGACCATGAGTATCGGTCCGGCCGGAGCTCGAACCCTCGACCTCCCGCACATCACAATCCGGCGCTCTAACCAACTGAGCTAACCGGGAGGCGGTTAGAGAATAGTTCCACAAAACCGATCATTACTGCTTTAACCTTATTTCGACCTCATAGCTAGATAACAAAGGAACACCTACCAGGTACGGGTGACCCAAGATCTGCCCTAAATTACCGTCCATAAAGTACGGTAATTTAGGGCGTCAAGCTAAATCACATCAAAACGGCCTCAAATCGCGAGAACAACACAGACTACTCTCTAAGAAGGTAAGACTTTATTTGTTTGATTATTTCACACAACTTTACATTTACGGAGCTCAAAAGCAAGTCCAACTAAACCACTATACAAACTCTTTAATTATTCACTGTGAAAGAGCCTGTGACAGAGCTTGGGCCACCTGTGCTACAAGGCAGAGTTTAATAGATGCGTCAGATATGGAATAAAAGCCACTCGATAGGTAGATCCTGTTTTAAAGGATCTCTTAGAATCAAGTGCAACTCCAGTTATCCAGAGCATCTGTCTTCCATTTGCATTGAGTCTCAGTCTTCGTGATCTTTCCCGTACTGATGAGAGTAGTTTTCATTGGGAAAATCTGGGTTGATTTTCTAGCCGGATTGATATAATGGTATCTCTAGAATTTGAATTACATAAACATCAAGAGCTCCACCAAGTCCAACATTTAGCTCAAATTTTAATATTCCAAGTTTCAAAATATACTTATCTAGGTTTTCTAATACTTACTGAATTCGGCACGTTCGAAGACGACAAGCCGGACTGATGAAATTATCTCTAGAATGAAATCCTAACTGGAAATCAAGGTGTGATGTGGTGAGAAATCTAAATAGTAATGGTTACATGTAAATAAATCTCCATAGCTATCTCAAACACTGTGTTTAAAAGCTTTTCATTATTTCTATCATGATTTTTACATTAATACTTATTTCTGTATGCAGCATAATATCATATAGAGACCATATTACATTAATTGTATTTGAGAATTCTGGAATGCTATTGAAATTCCTGAATCTGGTGTGTTTAAGATGACTTTCAAGGGGTAAATTGTATTATTATCATTAACTATTAAAAATGACCTTTAGTAATTGCTAAATTATAACATTCACAGAGTCAATGTAAAAATTGTTGCCTCTGTTACTTAATCCTTGACTTGAGAAACAATCCTACATTGAAAATATTCATTTAAATTACAAACGAACCAACCCACAGTGTAATGCGATACAGAGACAACAGCTCAGGTGATTCCGTTCAAGGCCATTCATTTCAATCATTTCTAACCCAATTGCATGTAGCTCTTTCTTTAAATTGGTAAATTTCATTCATTGAAAAAAAAACTTAAAGGTTAAAAGTGACAGTTTCAATACCTAATTATTTCTCCAAATCTACAAGGAGCTTTAGGACTAATCCTATTAATGTTAATAATGTTAATTTAAGTCTGATTCTATCGACATTATTATGATACAGACCTTGCTCTTTTGTACATTCTCCCTTATGGCAAAACAGAATTTTTACTAAATATATGTCAATCCAAATTATCCTTCACCCAGAAAGGGTGATATGAAACTAACAACAACAACAAACACAGCTGATCAAATTACTACTCCTTCAAAAGGTAAAACATCAATCAAGATAATAATGAAGTCTTAAGAAAATTTAGATCAGAATGTGCTCACTATAATTGAAGATTGTTTTATTTTCAACACTGTTATCAAGATTTTCTTTAAAGTCCACTGAAATAAAATTGAACAATGATTCCACCTGTGTTTGCAGACACTGGAGAATATAATACTTGTATAAAACACTAATTCTACTCATTGTACTTCTAGTTCCAATTTAGTCTTTTTTTTTTTTTTAATGCAAACTATTCATATAACAGAATTTAAATGAAGATAAAAATACTATTTCCCTAAGGTCTCTCCCTGATGATTACAAAAAAAGTCAAAATTTATTAGATTATTTTAAATTCACTATTTCATTACAGTAACTTCTGCACTTTGACTTTCCAAGCCTTGACAAGGAAGCCTTTCCATTCATAAGGGCCTTCATGATATGAAGCATGGAATGTGACTCTCAGCTTGCTGTGGAATATCCACCAGGCTCCAGTGTAAAATATTCAGGGGGGGGCACCACTGGATGTAACAGTTTTTTGTGTTCAGCTCCTCGAATGTTAAGCTTGTTTAGGGAATAGTAGTGAATCATTTCTGGCACAGTATTGAATGGCTTACTAAATTGTCCCAAGATGTATTTGTTGCCTTGGCAAACAATCTTTAGATGCATGAAGGAGTTGTTATTTCTAAGTGGAAATAAAATGGAAAAAAATTTACATTGATGAAGTGGGCAATGAGCTTTCACTTAAGGTAACTCAAACTCAGAGCCAAAACAAGGGTTGGTTGTTGTAAAGTTGTGCTCAACTTACCTGTACTTATCAGAGTGACAACAAAATGAAACCAAAACACTATTTGAGAACTTTGTTTGGAATTCCCTAATGTTCCTCATGAAATAATGATTTCAGAATGTAAAACATATTAATTAAAAAAAAACAAAAATTCTCAGTAAGTTCAAGGCAAAGTAAATTCTTAACTTGCATTGAGTCTGTCAAGGCTCTTGAGTTAACATTCGACCCTACTTTGTCATTTACGAATTAAGAATTTTAAGAATTAAGAATTTAATTCATTTGCCATGGGAATGGCAGGAGAAAGGAACAGAACTTTCTTCCCAATTGACACCTAACCCCTTTTGTACCCACCCCACCCCATCACCCCAGGGGAGGACATCCATCACACAGTAATCTCGTCTGTGGGAAATTAACGTTTTCTACCCCAACCCTGCAGGAGACGGGACCTCCATTTATTCGTCCCTATCCGAGAAGACTAGAATATCTAACCATTTCTTGATGTAAAAGAAAGGTAGCAAGTTCTTCTCAATTATTTTAAGATCTTAGTGTTGGTCTAGCTCGAACCCTCCCGCACAACAGTACAGCCCACTATCCATTGGGCTAACTGGGTGGCGGTTATTCAACAATCACATCTCAGTGACAGTCTCATCTTGCATGAGTATATTGGCTCAGATCAGTCAGGCAAATGCTTGTTTTCAGCAAATTATACTATTGCTCTTCAGTCTGGTCTAACATCTCTGCCAGTAATATGCAAAAATTACAAATTGTTCAGAACTTCGCAGCTCAGATAGTTAGTGGTGTAAAGAAATTTGAACATATAACTCCATCACTTAAGAAATTGGAGTGGCTCCTCATAAAAAAGCAGGTTAACTTCTGACTTCTGAGATGCTATTCTTGCATTCAGGTGCATGATGGACCGTGCCCCGACCTATCTGATGTCACAGTTTGCCACAAGAAGACAGATATCTGACCGAATAACAAGAAACTCTTAACAACTTAATATTCCTTTCTTTAAAACCCCTGCTGGTCAGGGATCGTTTCACTATAGGATGGTAAAATTATGGAACTCGTTAGACAGTGATTTGAAACTGTGTAAAGTCACCTCACTAACTTTAAGAAAACTTTAAAATCAAGAATGTTGAATGAGTTTCTTACAACAAAATAGTTTTTAACATATAGTTTTATATTTTTTACTATACATGTATATCTTTTATTGTTATTGTATTGTACTGTTCACTGAAAAACCCTTTCAGGGAGTGTTCAATAAACTTATTACTCGAACAACAACAAACATATGAAACATATGAGTGAACTGCGGTTATGAGACGTATATAAGAACGATCCTTCGCAGTAAAGCACTATTTGAGCAATAGTGGAAATCAGACCTGAAAAAAATTTCAGGCCTGTACGGGATTCGAACCACTGACCTCTGCGATACTAGTGCAGCGCTCTACCAATTGAGCTAACAAGCCAACTGGGAGCAGGCCATCAAATTAATTCGATATAAACCCGTAGATGATAAATCGAACAACAACAAACATATGAAACATATGAGTGAACTGCGGTTATGAGACGTATATAAGAACGATCCTTCGCAGTAAAGCACTATTTGAGCAATAGTGGAAATCAGACCTGAAAAAAATTTCAGGCCTGTACGGGATTCGAACCACTGACCTCTGCGATACTAGTGCAGCGCTCTACCAATTGAGCTAACAAGCCAACTGGGAGCAGGCCATCAAATTAATTCGATATAAACCCGTAGATGATAAATCGAACAACAACAAACATATGAAACATATGAGTGAACTGCGGTTATGAGACGTATATAAGAACGATCCTTCGCAGTAAAGCACTATTTGAGCAATAGTGGAAATCAGACCTGAAAAAAATTTCAGGCCTGTACGGGATTCGAACCACTGACCTCTGCGATACTAGTGCAGCGCTCTACCAATTGAGCTAACAAGCCAACTGGGAGCAGGCCATCAAATTAATTCGATATAAACCCGTAGATGATAAATCGAACAACAACAAACATATGAAACATATGAGTGAACTGCGGTTATGAGACGTATATAAGAACGATCCTTCGCAGTAAAGCACTATTTGAGCAATAGTGGAAATCAGACCTGAAAAAAATTTCAGGCCTGTACGGGATTCGAACCACTGACCTCTGCGATACTAGTGCAGCGCTCTACCAATTGAGCTAACAAGCCAACTGGGAGCAGGCCATCAAATTAATTCGATATAAACCCGTAGATGATAAATCGAACAACAACAAACATATGAAACATATGAGTGAACTGCGGTTATGAGACGTATATAAGAACGATCCTTCGCAGTAAAGCACTATTTGAGCAATAGTGGAAATCAGACCTGAAAAAAATTTCAGGCCTGTACGGGATTCGAACCACTGACCTCTGCGATACTAGTGCAGCGCTCTACCAATTGAGCTAACAAGCCAACTGGGAGCAGGCCATCAAATTAATTCGATATAAACCCGTAGATGATAAATCGAACAACAACAAACATATGAAACATATGAGTGAACTGCGGTTATGAGACGTATATAAGAACGATCCTTCGCAGTAAAGCACTATTTGAGCAATAGTGGAAATCAGACCTGAAAAAAATTTCAGGCCTGTACGGGATTCGAACCACTGACCTCTGCGATACTAGTGCAGCGCTCTACCAATTGAGCTAACAAGCCAACTGGGAGCAGGCCATCAAATTAATTCGATATAAACCCGTAGATGATAAATCGAACAACAACAAACANATTATATGGTTCAAACGTTACTTATCCGACAAACAAAGCGAGGCTCCTCTCATGTTCTGGCAGGCGGTCGAACACATGAGATCAAACTGCAAGGACGGAAAGGCTCGGCAAACCAGGGCTACAATCATAACGAAAAAATACTTCATCAACATTCCGAAAACCCCTGGTTAGTGTTTAGATTTTGACAAAGTCAATATTTTTCAGAGCCCTTTAGAAGAGAAGTTGGTCGAAGAAACGCTATAAGTTTTCTCCACTATCCATAATTCTTGGATAGTCAACTAACAAGCCAACAAGCTAACAACTAACAAGCTAACAAGCCAACTGGCCTGCTCCCAGTTGGCTTGTTAGCTCAATTGGTAGAGCGCTGCACTAGTATCGCAGAGGTCAGTGGTTCGAATCCCGTACAGGCCTGAAATTTTTTTCAGGTCTGATTTCCACTATTGCTCAAATAGTGCTTTACTGCGAAGGATCGTTCTTATATACGTCTCATAACCGCAGTTCACTCATATGTTTCATATGTTTGTTGTTGTTCGATTTATCATCTACGGGTTTATATCGAATTAATTTGATGGCCTGCTCCCAGTTGGCTTGTTAGCTCAATTGGTAGAGCGCTGCACTAGTATCGCAGAGGTCAGTGGTTCGAATCCCGTACAGGCCTGAAATTTTTTTCAGGTCTGATTTCCACTATTGCTCAAATAGTGCTTTACTGCGAAGGATCGTTCTTATATACGTCTCATAACCGCAGTTCACTCATATGTTTCATATGTTTGTTGTTGTTCGATTTATCATCTACGGGTTTATATCGAATTAATTTGATGGCCTGCTCCCAGTTGGCTTGTTAGCTCAATTGGTAGAGCGCTGCACTAGTATCGCAGAGGTCAGTGGTTCGAATCCCGTACAGGCCTGAAATTTTTTTCAGGTCTGATTTCCACTATTGCTCAAATAGTGCTTTACTGCGAAGGATCGTTCTTATAAACTTATTACTATTACTATTACTATTGAAAAAACAGTAAAGAGACAATAACTAATATAAACAAATCCTTACTTGACAGACAGAGAGAAGTCATTTTTACTACTCTCTGATTGTCGCAGTAGGAAGCTGCAGTCTTCAGCAGATTGTAGGAGTCTCTCTGCTTCCAGTCGCTTTAAAGGTCCATGATACCAGCTGTATTTTAAGATTGAAACATAAAAATTAATGATCAGGACAAAGACAATACAAACAACACTCAAACTTACTCCTGGGCTCAAAGCTCAAGTTTACACCCCAACATCAGTATGCACATTCTCCAGACTGTTTTCTTTACATTTCCTATGGAGCTGACAAGGAGAATTCATTTAACCATCAGGAGCTTCTTCACTGGGTGATCATTTCCTTTATTCTTGTCACCTCTATGTGTGATTCAAGGATCATAAAATTGTAAGGAGAAATTAGAAGCAAGTCACTATTAGAAATTAAAGGGTTGAGTCAAAATTTGGAGACCTAAAATCATAAAATGGTCACCCAAAAATTTAATGAAAAAACTTTATTCTACTTGCCATAGCAAGTACAACATTCACAATCTAGGACACCTTTTCCACAGGGAATAACAATTCATTCATACAACTTACCCCTGTTGCGCCAGTGGCAAAGCGGGATCAATAGGGGATCCATCTCCACCAAATGTTCTTGGTGGCTTAGAAGGGGCAACAGAGCACCCTGTTACCTGTGCTTCTCCTTCCCTTGGAACCTTGACCCTTGATGCAACACCAGATTTTGACCACTCCCAAGGAGCATCATAGTCATCTGGGGGTCGTGCATCTATTTTAGGTGACTGAACAGGTTCCTGTTGTCTTGGAACTTGTGTATGGCCATTCAGATTAATATTCTTGTTCCACTCCCAGGGTTTGTCATAATCATCAGATGGGCGCATGTCAGTCACAGGAGCTTGAGGTCTCTCTTGGGGTAAGTTTGGAGATTTATGCTGCATTCCTAGAAAAGATTTACTTTCCCAAGGTGAGTCATAATCATCTGCTGGTCTCTGATCCCTGCTGGGAGACTGCTGTCTATTAAAAAAATGGACATTAAAGGGTAAGACAAAGTATAATTATATACACAATGTGTTTTTGAGTTAAAAAAAAAGACAATACGTCTTTTCTTTCAACTACTCAATTTAACTACATGTAATAAAGGACACTGAATGTTATAGTTCACTAAGGCAAAAGAAAATTTGCAACAAGCACTGAGTGACAAAATCAAATGAACATGGCTGATTGTCACATGGTTTGTCATCAAGAGTACAAATGCAAGTTGTCAAGCAATACAACTGATAAGAACACAAATGAAAAAATAATGTTAAGAAATAATTTAAGTTTAGTTTTTTGGTCCAATCACAGTATCATAATGGCCCCTTTGGTATGTACTTTTGTTATTCAAGAATGGACTCGACAAAAGTGATTATTTTGTTTTGAACTTGTCTGGTGATTGGGCATAAATGCAGAGTGATCTTGGTTAAATTCATTGGATTACAAATTTAAGATACCATAATCTGATAGCAAAAAAAGACAACTAATTACAGATCAAAATGTTTACTTTTTGACACCAGTTTCACTGTGCTTCCTGAATCTGTCTTCCTCCTGTTCATCTACAGATGGACGCATTCCCCTCAGAGACATTCTCTTAGCTTGCTCATCTAACAATGTGACTTTGCCAAGGTCATAAGGTTCAGAATAACTTTCTTCATCTGAATCTTCATTACTCTGATGCTTGACTTTCTCAACTGTTACCCTTTGTACCTGTGATTCCCCATCCTGTTTAGCATCCCAAGGGTCCATGTAATCATCTTTTGAACTCTTTCTCCCAGCTACGGTGGGGTCAGTGACTGCCCCTGGTTGGGTGTTTGTAGCATCCCAGGGGTCAGAATAGTCTCCCCCAGGGGACTTCGCTTCTTTGGCATCCCAAGGATCTGAGTAGTCATCGGGCATCTGAGAAAAACCAATATTTGATTAAAAAAGGGGAAGGTTTATCACTAAAGAAAGAAACTTACCTAAGTGTTGAAACAAATATTATCAGTCAGGAGAGCAGTTCTTCCATTTCACAGGATACAAGGCCTTCTTTAAAAAAACGTTTCCTTTTAAAACTGTTGTAGCACAGGAATAGATTAGTCAGAGTAAGAGGAGAACATACACTATACTACACAACAGCTACTCATCTGGACAAAATATTATTACTAAGGCCATAAACATTTGGCTGGATAATTTTCTGATTTATGGTGCCTGCATGTAATTAAAAACATCCTGCCCAAAGATTCTTTTGAACATGCCACAGGAGATTTTTTGATATGGCAGGTGATTCAATAACTTAAAGGCACTTAGGATTTTCCTATCTTCATCGAACAAATATATGAGAAGAAAGATAGTGAGGAAAATAAAAGATGACCAATGGAGTCAATGTTTCCATACATCATTTTACAACACACAAGAGCAGCATCACACAACATATTCTGTTGTCAGTAGCAAATTATTCATTCTTAACATTACAGTGAAAGCCAGTGACACCTGCATAGCTGAAACAATGTTATCCTATGAGAAAAAAATTGTTGCTACAAGCTTCCTTTGCTTCCAACCAATAATTCTATTCTACAGTAAATATTTCCTAAATTCAAAATAAATCAGCAATGTCCACGAGGTTTGAATTTTTAAAAGGGAGGCAGAGTAGAAGGAGTAATCATTGAAAAATGCCACATGTTGTATGCAAATTATGAATAAAGCTCTTTGATATAAAATTATGGAAAAAGTCAAACAAATATTTGAGATCAACAAAGTCTGGCTTGATGGAAAAAAAATATTACACTAGCATGATAAATCAAATTTAGCTTGAGATATTCTAACAAAGCAAAATGTAGCCTTTGGCTATGGAGTATGGATATGTCAAAGAGAAGATAAATTAGTAAAATGATATAATGTACAAAATATATGATTGTACAATTTGAACTATGACTGACAAAACATGTATGCGTGCTTATACTACATGCACTGTCTTTACTTGAATCATTATACAGAATATTGCCAAACCCTGAGTTCAACTGAAAGCTGAACCCCTTCATGAACTGGAATGATAATACAAAACATGTACAAATGAAAAGAAAAACAATTTATTTCTTTGCTCCTTAACTTTTCACTCCTTTGAGACTTCTGTGGGAACATAATTTATCAGACAAATGTATAAAAAAAATTATATTGAAATCTCAGACTCAATTGAAACATTTATGAATGAGATTTCATTGTAAGAGATAAAAAGTGTATCATATACAAGTAATATAAATGTAGCCAACTAACACTAAAATTTCATGAAGCTGTAAGTATTTTGTTTGTCATTGAAAGGTTTATTAAAAAAAAAAAATAATTCTGAAAAATGTTCAATCACATTAACCCCTGAAAATTTTGCCAAATAATTATCATTGTGCCACGTAGTCCTATACTTTTAACAGTGGTTGAATACAAAATATCTGTGATTATAAATTACAACTTCAATAAAAATGTCTGCAAAAACGCTTTTGAATCACCATATAACCAACCAGAATATCCAAACAACTTTACCAGAATTTTTATACACGGAACCTAAACAAAGAATTTCTTTTACCTTTTTCTTGAAATTTCTGTCTGACGTACAACTTCGCACACAGTTACATTTTTGAAGGAACATGCTGATGAAGAAGCCGAGAATCAATTGTCTTTCAGTCAGGGGGCAAGTTGTATTGTCTCTTTTGAGAGCATGTCCATCAATTAAATAACAGTCTATTTACATAGGGTTGTGGTTTCAAACTGAATTCCAATTACTAACAACGGAAGCTCGCTTGCAGCTTTCTCTGGTGAATTTTAACACAAGTATGTTTCATATCTAAATACAAAAACCTACGGGCACTTAAGTATTTCTTTTAACCACAAAATGGTCTGGGAATGTCTAACTGAATGACTGACTGCTTGACGTAATATGTAATTAAAAATAAAATTGTGCCACCTGAAAGGACAAATTTAACAAAACATGGATTTCAATATGCAAATTTTTTGCGAAAACTGGAAGTCACATTCAAATGATCTTAGTCAATAATGTAGTCAATACAGTTCAGAGGAAGCAAGAAGGAGAAAGAAATCTACAGGATGCATCAGGTTTACTTTGTAAGTCTTGCTTCAGTAAAACATTTTTAGCGAAAAAAATTATTAGCGAAAACTGGAAGTCACATTCAAATGATCTTAGTCAATAATGTAGTCAATACAGTTCAGAGGAAGCAAGAAGGAGAAAGAAATCTACAGGATGCATCAGGTTTACTTTGTAAGTCTTGCTTCAGTAAAAAAACTATATGATCAAAGAATTTTTAGCACAGGTTTAGAAGTGAATTTAAAACTAATGGTTTCCCCTAAATTCAAGTTATTCTTCTTTTCTTTACTTGATGGATTATGATGGCTTTCTCTGAATATTTGTTATAGTTTTATCAAAGGAAAAAGATTAATAAAAAAATTGAAGTAAACTTTCTGTTGGTAAAACAAGCTACTTACTGGAACTGTTTTTTGTTACTATGGTAAACAACCATAAAATGCTTAATTCAAATATTCAATATGAGTCCATTGTCAAACTACATACAGCTGTACAATATAATGTATGTGCATATATAATGTTGCTGGCCTGTTGTGAAGCACATGTTTATGAAAAAGCAACACATGTAGACACAATGAATGAATGATACATTATACAACGTGTAAAAGACTTATCACAGCCTATTCAGATAACCTTATGCATTCAGTATAATTCATTAATCCTTTCATAGTTTTGCCTATGTTGGGTAAAAATGAAAAAAATATTGTGCATACAGACATTTATCATCAATTTCTCTCATATTACAATAGAAATGTTTCCTGTTAAAATAAATTTATTTCTCTAGGGAGCCTGACAGGAATAAATAAACCATTATCTGTGCACACGATAATGCAATTTTTATCTCTGTATTTATCTCCACACTATGCCACAAAAATTGACAACTTTTTCACTCAATTGTATTAATAATCAACTGAAAGCAACTTTTTATATCAAAATTCGAGAACATGAAACATAAACTAAATACCCAAATATACACATCTTGTTTTTATAAGTCAAATATTTAAATGTGGTTTGGGTTTGAAAAAAGCAAACAAAGAAAATGAAGGTAAATTTCCCACTTATTCATTCTGATCAAAAAAAAAGATAAGTAAAGATCACTTTACAGAAGTACTAAATATGCAAACTGTCACCTTATAAATTTCTCTTCTGGCAACCAAATACATTTCTAACTATAATTAATAAAAAAGGTTTCCATTCACACAGTTGTCTGGCAACTACTAAATTTTTCAAATACTTTCCTCATCAATTGATTCTTACTATGCTAAGAAACTTGAACGAGATGATTACCAGTTACACAGTTTCAACCTGAACTTAATATCTGCATGTATCAGTATTTTTGATAGTCTTATGCTTCTTGCCTAAATACTAATATTTTTGAGCCCTGAAATACTGTAAAATATGATGGTCTTTCATGTACATCATGCACTTTATTTTATCTTGTTTTATTTTATTTAGCTTTGCCAACCGGCAGGGACACCGCAACAGCTAGTGCCGATTACTGCGGGCCCAATAAACCCACCAATCCCCCCCCCCCCATGGGAGGACATCCGTCACACAGTAATCTCGTGTGTGGGAAATTAACGTCTCCTACAAAGACAATAGCAAAGCAGTATTGTGAAAAGTAGTGCTTTCAACAGCCTGGGGCAGTTTCAATATTAAATCAAAAGAAGATGGATAGCTAAAAAAGAAACTCAAAACAAAACAAATCAAAAGCATGGAAACAAACCTCGATATCATAAAATGTTCTTTTATTTGTAATAAAGGTTTGTGCAATCTATCTCCGCCAATGAAAATATAATTATTTCCTAGCAGTAAATAATTATCCCTAGCAGGAAATAAGCCTTATTTACTAATCAATTAAGATGTGTTCTTGGAAATTAATAAGGGAAATTCCAAGGTTTTTTTTCTGATTTGGTTCCCTCTCACCCAGTCACAAGATGTTTATAGCAAATATGCTGGCTTGGTTAAAGCATCAGACTTAGATTCTTTCTTTTCCAACACCACAATTATTCTGTGCACTCTCTGTACACTTTCATTCTTGAGAACTTATGTTCATTCACACAGCATCCCCTAGTTGGTATTTTTCTTTATTCTGATCAATTACTATTGGGGAATATGTTGACACCTTAAGGAGACATTCCCCTTTTATCACTCCTAATATTGATAACTTTGTCCAAGTGGGAGATTTCAGTATTATAACTGTCCACAACTGAAATGTTGGGACAATGACTGAGATGAACAGAGAGAAAAACCTTTGCAGTGTTGTTTTGCCACATGGACTTCAGTTTTCACATGGAAGAATTTTAAGCATGGTTGTAAAGAGAGACCTTTGAAACTGGGCAAGCAACCCCTCTCACATGTACATGAGATGTCAGATGGGAAATTGTAGAGCAAACCAGCTCAGCTGACATAGCTCATGTGCTGCAGCTAGGAGGAAAAAGGAAGTTTACCATATTCCTGATCAACACCTAAAATGATATATTCTAGGGTCAAGGATGATACAATGACACTAAAATTATTAATATTTATATTTACTACACATAGTCTGGCAAGCTTTAAAATAAGATGACAAAAACTGAAAGACACATTTTTAGATGATAAATGTACGCTTTCTAAATGACTAAATGTGTCATTAGAAATTCCTTTATATCGTAGGAATTGTCACATCCGTCTGAGACTCGTTATCGTGTTTAACAGATTATAATAATGATATCATATCAAATAATGGAAAATCAAACTTGTCTGAAACTCATAAATAGACACAAGAACAGAAATACATCAAGAAGACATGTGACATTGCGTTGTGTAGAATGTTCCATTGGTAGCTACAGCATATCGTGCAGGAAATCATCATTGGTAATTTTACACATTTAACACTGATATTTACCCCCACGTCGTACCATCAACAAAAGTTAATGGGTTAACTTTTCAATGAAGTGAATGTGTGCATGCTGAAATCTGTGAAGGGGTAAAGATTTCGCAACTGCTTCATCATTGCTATTCAATCAGCAAATTAACTTTCACCAGGAGAAGTCAATTCTTTAAAATTAGTCGTTCAAAGTTTACTTTTAAATCTCGCTGGGAAATCATGCACATTTGAATGCGAACAAGGTTTAGATCTAGGAAGTCAAGATACTCCACAAGTGTTAAATAATTAAAATGATACGAACAAGCTCGCATAAAGCTGCGGGCAGACATCAATATATCAACTCGGAAAATAATTTCCTACCTTAAAGCCGGATCTTTGCCCAGGTACAAGCATTTTTCCCTGCTGTAAATGCTCTGCACTTTGTGGTCTCTGTGATCTGGCCGCTTTAGTCGACTGGCCAAACGTAACAGGCACTGAAGCCCTTTTTCCGGCATCGTGAACGCGGCGATTAGCTGGCGAATGATTTGGTCTCGGAGGAGGGTAGCTAGGCATAACAGGACTCTCATTCGGCGAAGAAGTTGGATGGACAGTGGCCGGGTCTAAATAGCTTTCATCTTCTTCAGATAAATCACTAGAGCTCCTATTCTCATCATAATCCCTCCTTGGTGGCTTAGGAGGTTTAGTTCCTTTAATTTTGAATAGTTTTCCAATATTAGACATGTTTCACCCGAGCTCCGTGATCATAATGGCTGTTAGAGGATGTGACGACACAAGCTCGAAAGCTGCCTTGTCCCACGTGACTTTCTCGCTAACTTCCGGTTAACGAACCGTTGAAATAATGCTACATCTATAAAAGGAAAGGTATCTTTAAAATTTGCACCGCTATACAATGTCAAAAGAAAAAGGTCGTCATTGAGCGAGCAACGGTCGAATTATTTTCGTAGTTTTCAGAAGGATAAAATAGCTGGTCCTCTAAGAAAGTTTTCTAGAATCGTTCAATTTCAGGTTCATTCTTAGACAAAAAGGAGCCAGTAATGAGTGTTCCACTGAAAGACAACTTGTCTCTCTTTACGCTTATGAAATTTAAATTTGCAGTTTCAGTAAATTAACCCTAATAAGGAAAAATTTATAGAGGTTTCGGATTCTGAGTCATCGTGATTTGTTTGTTTCGCTGTTCCTCTTAGCGATCAATTTCGTGACTTTCATAAATTAGTGGTGGATGGCCAGTTTCACTTGGGGTCGAATGGTACCTTAATGGAGTTTCAACTGGGGATTTGGTTTCAATCGTCTTTATTTGCTCAATGGTACAGATTAAAAATAAACTGCATTTGGTGGAAACTAATACAAAAAACAACGTTTGAGTCTTTTATTTTTTCATATTACACTGAATGGTTACTCACTGTGACTTGTTTTTACTTTCATGTAGTGACCACAAACTAATCAGGGTACAAACAATTTCTGTACATGTAAATGTTGTGCTGCGGAGCACCATGAATAAAAATGATGGAACAGAGAATTAACTCTGAAGCGTAAATTAACGTGCACTTTATAGCACTTTAATTTACGCTTCAGAGCTAATTCTCTATTCCATCAATTTCTGTACATGGTCTAATGAAGAGGGCTGACGTCACTCTATCTGATATAACGTTTCCCTGACGCACGATAAACAAGCCATCGTCATCATCGATCGATGAAGTCTCTATATTATTGGACACTTTGTCAAAACGTACTACTCTATTTAGGTTACATAAAATGAAAGCGCTAATCAACATGAAAAGAAAACTGATTTAAATCTTACCATCAGAATGTTAGCAGCATGTCAGTATTACCTGTCGAAAATGACAGCGAATATTTCACGAGAACGAGGTACGGGGATGGTTGGGGAAGTATGCATACATAATAAACGCGACTGTTTGTTACAAAATATTATCATACGACGTTCTGTTCTCTGCAGCATTGTTCAACTATGTCCTACCTACATTTGAACAATAGAAGTGAGCACAAGAAAGGCGAGAGTACGATATTATCGATCTGTGTCGTCCACCCCTCCAGCAGTGATCCGCAAATTACCGCCATGGATACTGACCACCATCTTTCTTCTGGTAAAAATAGAAAACCTGGAAAACACAGCAACAAACTTTGCAATACAGAAGAGAAAAAAATTGATTTCGTCCTGAGGGCGGGGGAGGAGGGAACTTCAGTAACCTCACTAGCATTTTCTTTCGATAAAAATGCGAGGGGATTAGTCGAGAAATCTCAGCTTTGCTTTCTTATTGTTGCTGAGAGCTTAATAGGTTTACACTGCTTGTCTGATAGGGGATTAAGATTGGCCGGGAAAAAGAAGTTGACAGGCCTCGCAAACGACCTAACAGCTAATGTTAAACAAAGGACAAGAATCCAACTTTTTAAATATTATACGAAATAGAAAGTCACTGTGTTTAACCTTTGTAATGTAGACTCCAAAGAAACAACAGTTGCGATGCGACACCGGCCAATGTTCCTTCCACAGTTTTCACTCCACCTTGAGTAAAATAAAAAAAAATTTCAGCCTTTATACAGAAGCAAACACGCATTTGAACAAAATCTTCTATTCTTTAGAAAAGTTTTAAGGTACACACCTGGCCAGCGACAGCGTCCAAATCTTTTCCCAACAACGGATGCCATCGTGTCGCCAATACCAAGTGAAAGGATCCCAGAATACAGAGCAAGGTTGCAGCCTGTGGTTGGAAAAAAAAAATTCACAGTAACCTGACAGGAATAGATCCCAGCCCAACTGCGTTCCTAATAAGCATCAATGCTACCTCTATTCCTTTTTTCTTCTATCGGAATATATATCATCGAGAGACTGAACTTACCAATGGAATCACCGATCATGTAATCAACAGGATATAGCCACAAAGGTACTGCAAAGCCCAGCAACAAATACACGTGGGTTAAAATGAGGGGACCAGAATCTTTCTCATCTAAGAACACCTCAAGCGCTGAGTGAATGGATTCACCAAACGGTCCTATTCTGTACAATCGGATATACTGGGAAACAATATTTAAAACATGGTTACAAAATGCATGTGTTTCTTTTTCAGGTTTATGTTCTGGTTTTCACGTCTGCATGCATATGACGCATTGGCATTGACACACATTGTTTCGAGTTTACTTTGAAGAGGGGGGGGAGGGATGGTAGCCTCGAAGACTGACATACCCACCCCCGGGAATAACAATACTCGTGAGTCACTATATGTACCGGTATTTGGGATAAAACCTAGCGTTAGACAAAGTTGGTGAAAATAATTTTACAAGATTACGAGTAAGTCGAACAACTATCCTTATTTCTGTGACGCTTAGATTACTTGAAGAAGAATTAAGAGGGCGTATCTCAATAATCGGAAAAAATGGATTTACTACCGTGTAAGACCCGTAAGATTTTTCTCCGCTTTGTAACTATTATCTGCCTGAGCTGTGCTCTCTTCATTTCTTAGTTTTTCTTTGTTATACGTCAAAAGTGAATGTCACAGGTTTGCACGCCGAGGATAAACCACGAAAAAGGTGGTCAAGGAAGGCACAACAAACCAACATTCACCTTGACTTACCTCTATAAATATAAAAGCTGCTACAGCAACTGATGAAGCTAAATGTGTTACGTTTGGTTCGTAAACCACGCCTGGTATGAAGACCGCTAACGCCAACAAGTGGAAAACTTTACGAGTTATTGTGCTGGGGGCTGTTGGCGATGATTGCAAGCGCAGACTTTTCCACGCTACAAACCCTACAGCTACAAGAACAACACAGAACCAGTAACGTACTAGTGGCATCTGCAAGAAATATAAACACCAATTTAATATTAAAAAATGGAAATGTGTAAGATCGCGGGGAACAACTACGTGTACTTTGGTATATGCGGCTTAGCAAAAACGGTTTGAGGATAACCTCTTGTTCTGTGACTGTTTGAAAGGTTAGTACTGGGAGAGACTTTGTAATAAAAAGTAAAATACAAAAACAACAAAAGCGAATTAAAAGTTCCCCTGCCGAAGCACTCACTTACAACACAGTGAACAAACGAGACAGTGAATCTGTTTGGGCATCTTATAAGAAATGGCAAGGAGTAACCCCTCCCCCACAAGGGCTAATTAATATATTCCCCTAGGCATATGAACACTAATATCTTCCGAGACATTTTACTTCACATTTTAATCATTCAGCGATTCGATTAAGACCACATTAGATACTGTTCATAATTTAGAGTTCAACAAAAAATTCATATTTGAAATGCTTTGCTTGTCCCAAACAGCACATACTTTGTAAGCTTTGTCATTGAAGTTTGCATACAATGACTGCTGGATACAAAACGGTACTTTAACAATTTGTAGATGTTTCATGGTTCATGGGCAGCTTACCCTAATGTCCCCAAAGTCTAAATAGTCCCACAGCCACACAAATGGATTAATGCCCCCCAAAATGAGCACAGACCATGGCAACAGCAGAGCAAAGAATGTAAAGAACAACACAGCATAGAATGCCATGTAACCAGTTACTCTCTCCCAATAGTCCCTAAAAACCAAACACAATCTGTGAATAACTGATTAAAAATTAGGTTCACCCCAGAACAGAAGTTTTGCACTACCATAAGGATGATTATCTACTCTGACAGCTAAGTAAGATAACACAAAGACAATCACCTACATCTGACAGTTACCACCAGTGACACAATTCTCTGTTCTGAAAGATGCTTTTTTCTCTCCCAACTCTTACAATTTAGAAGCAAACTCAAAACTATAAATTAACAAACTATTATTATTAATGAACCACACAAAGATGATGTTTAACCCCTTAACCCCCCCCTGACAGTGTCTGACTTCTCATTTCTCCCTACAGTATGACCCTTAAACTCAAATGTAAAGGTTACGAGAATAAAGGCAATGATAACCAAATTAAGAATTGCTCCTGATTATCACACAAATTCTTCTTTTTAGTACCATACAAAAGGTAAAGGGAGCAAACAGTGTGGAGAACATAAATACCAATGTTAGGGTGTAAAGGGTTAAAATAACCTGGGATAGACTATCACACCATCCAGTACTAGAAACAATACTTACAGATGAAACAGATTTTTGTTCACCAAGAAGGCTAACTTGATGTACTTGAGTAACTAACCAAACCTGTGTTGTTTTTTACAACACTTTTTCTTTACATCAAGTTATAAATTATCTAGTATATAATATTATCTTATAACAACAACAAACATATGAAACATATGTGTGAACTGCGGTTATGAGACGTATATGAGAACGATCCTTCGCAGTAAAGCACTATTTGAGCAATAGTGGAAATCAGACCTGAAAAGTTGATTATCTTATAAGTTATCTCCTAAATTAAGACTCACCTTACTAATGTAAGATAGTAAAATACTGGCAGAAGGAGAAGACCTGTTGTAAGTGATCCAACCACCAAAAGCTGGATGTAAAATCATAAATATTTCAGCATGAGGCATCCCTTGACTACACAATCAACACATTAAAATTAATAGACTTAAGAAGTAATAAGTGGATATCTGACATTTACACAACCCATGATCATGTATTCTCCAGAACCAAATTTTATGTTGGGCTAGATTGAATTTGACCAGTGAAGATTGATTGGTAGAAAGATGAGGGGCCATATAAAAGAGACATCACATGAATAAGCTATGGGTTACCTGCATCCACAAAGTGAGAGTTCCTCGTGTAGCTTCAGCATGAATTCCAAACAAATTATAGAAGGTAGGAGAAAGATAGGCTAACTGAAAACAGATCATTCTGAATTTCAGTACATGCCTAAAATGGTTATGAAAAAAGTCAAGACATAACTCCTTGAAAATTTGATTAGCATTCCTTAACCTGTTTCTAATGACACTTAATCCTTGTCTTGTAACTATGTTCAACTAAAAATGCATGTTTACCTTTATTCCTAAGTTTGCAAATGAATCAATAGTCACAAAAACAACTGCTTGCGTCACAATCATGGCTTCACCAATAGTAAAACATCCTGGTATCCACCACAAGATGGCAAAGAGAGCAACAAAGTATAGGGAAACACTTACTGACACCCACATAATATCAACATCTGTAATAAAAAAGATTGTATACTCCATATTACAATATAAATGCAGTCACTGTCATGGGTTACCTATGTAAAATATAGCCTCAATACATAGTTACTCACTTGATCGTTCATTCTTTGGGTTTATCCCTCTAACCAACCAAACACTACAACTGGCATTTTGATCCTGCTAATTTACCTTGCACAACGGAGAATCATGTATCATACTCTCATGAGCAATTTGAAACACCAACAACAAAGTTTTTCCATAATTTATCATGTTTATGTTAAAAAAAAAAAATTATATATAACCATCACAACTAAAACATCAATGTTCAATTTGGATAATCTAAAAATATGAACTGTGCATACCCAAATGAATGCTTATTGTAGCTGCTATGCAGGTCGTGACCATAAAAAAGAAGACTGATGACATCACTGGTTTTACATGATTTGTAATCAGCAGAATGGAGGCAGTGAACATGCTCATCAACTGAGAAGCTAACAGATAGGATCTTTCTACCTCTAAGGAAGAAAATTGGGAAAACTGTTTATCAGCAGCTTTGCAAATACAAACAAGACTCTCCTAGAGTAAGTGTGATGAACTTGGGTGTTACCTGTGACTTTGAGAAACACATATTTACTGTCCCATTTCTCCACAAATGCCATTTGACTTGTGATCACCATGGGGACTAGAAGTGAACCAATTTCCATGCCATCTCCAGCAATTGGCCTAAATAATTATTGTACAAAGGCTTCTTAAAATACTCAGTTTCAATAAGATCTAACCATTCAGTTTGATCAACGCAGGCGAACATGTACTGGACGGAAACACCACGAGTGTCACTCACCTTAAATGAAACCATTTTCTTATCCCTGCAGTCCACTTCACTGAAGGAATACAAGCGACCAATAATACTAAAGCAAAAACCATGGAGAGCAAACTAGATGTTAACATTCTTCCAAGTTAGCGAGAGGCGATTAAAATGTTACATAGATTGACCAGCAAAACAACGAGATTTGCGATTATCATAATTCCCCAGAAATATTCACTCATATGATCATGGAATGCATCTTCCATTGGCTGTGGCGGCTACCTGTTATATGGAATAAGATGTAACCAGCGCTTTGTTTCAACTCAAACTGACTGCAAATCAGGTATAAACTACACCCAACCACTACTGCAGACTCTCCGATCATTGTAAATAATTTATCACCTCCAAAAATCGAATGAAAGCTGCAGTTTTGATCGTTGACCCCTTAAAGGCAGAAATCCACCAGGCGCGAGCTCCTGGCGCGTAAAATGACCGAGGTCAGTTCCAGTCTAAAAAGATAAGGAAGATCTGGAACGAGTGGTTTACCGGAAGGAGAAAGAAAGTTGTTGTCAAAGATGGAGGTGGTTTCCTATTTTTTGTGCGCGTGTTTAGCTCTTCTTTAGATCACGAACGTTTACCTGAGCAACAACTACGCTACAGGAAACTGCATAAGTAAGTTATCAGTGTTTTTACTCTCATCTGCCCTCTAGAACGGGAAATTGAGACAAAACGAGTTTCCAAAGCGCCTCAATGATACGACCATCGCTCGATTGATACTTGCAAAAGCGTAACTTGCAGAAATCCTGCATGGTTTGTGTATGTCTCACGAGAAAATTGCATTACATAGTAGACAGAGGATTATGTGAGCTCGAGAATGCATAAAAGGCCTCTCCCATTCCTCAGGAATTTCTAACTAGATGCTTTACGTAAATTGTCATGTCGACGATGAAAAGTGTTGAAATAATGCAATTTTCCCTAATGGTTAAATACCAAAATATGAAATCACCCTTTCTTCCAACGATTCATTTTATCATCACTGCATTTAGGAGAATTCCTCGCTGGCGACTGACGAATATGATTAAGTCTTACAGACTAGTTTGCAGTAACTTCCGTTGCCTTTTCTCAGTTTCTTTAGCATGAAGCAAAAGGGGACATGCCTCATACCCCCCCGGTGGAAATGCTAGCTCGCATGGCAGGTTACCCACCAGACATTACTCCACTCAACCATAGTACTCCATGGTTAGTTTCAATGACACTTAATCTACAGCCATGCACCTGACACAGCTTTATTCACACACTTTGACACATTGTCATAAGCACTCTGCTACTTCTACAGGTTGTCATTAGTACTCCATAAGTTACAAACCATTCAGGGTGGCACCCTCAGAGCAAGGGATCTTTGCTTATAATGAATAAGCACAATGATCTAGGCTAGAGTTTACATCAAGTTCTCTTGATTTGGCTGACTCCAGTGTTTTATCTGATCATTTGCCATGTCTCCCTCAGCTGAGAGTATATAGTTACCCCATATTTGAGATGTTGACCTTTGATGAGTATATTCATTGATCATATTATAATTGACATGACTTGGGCCAAGGTGTATGAGGCACAAATAGCAGTTACCCAGATTTAAGCTAATTGAAGGACAAGCCATTTGAAGCACAAATAGCAGTTTACCCAGATTTAATTGACATGGTAATCTGTGATTAATATAAGCATTTATCTGAGGGTTATTCTTCAATGGGTTTTGAGCAACTTGTCCTTAATAGGTAGTGTACTATACTTCAAATCAAGCAAAAGTGTTTGGATCTGGGGCAGTCATACAGGAAGGTTGCTGGGGGAGTTAGGGTGAGCTTTAGTATTGGAAGATTAAAAGGAAACCTTCCTGAGAAGCTAATTTGCTATAAACACAGTTTAATTTTGGTGAATGCTATTATTATTCTTAGATTACTACAACTTCTTTTGGCCATGATGTTATCAAGGTCACTTTTGTACAGACTCCCTCAAACATCTACCTCAGAGCAGTTCTCTGGTCCTCTTATGAAAGTCTTATGGAAAATCATGATTGTTTCAGGGTGTGTTTTATCAAACAGTGAAATTGATTTAAATTTCTGAGTATGATCACAGTATTATTCGCAATATGAAATTCTGGGCAGCCTTCAATTTTGACTAAATAATTCTCCTTATTTTTTCCCTTTCTTTTGTTATGTCTCTCATCCCTGATTCTAAGTTTTACTAATAATTTACAAAGCTATAGCAGAGAAAAAAATCGTGGTTGCTGAAGAAAACTAGACGGGAGTCATTTTTTTAGGCTTTGTAAATGCAGTAAAAGTGGCAAAATGATTATATTCATTTTATTGTGTCCTTTTTTGATAGTCAAAAAAGTGAATGGTTTATAATCTTTCATGAATATTTACAAAATTGAATGAAATTTGTAAGAAAGGACTTTGATTACATAATTATCTTCATTCTATTTTAAGTAGCTGGAGGTCTGTTTTGTTTCATTATCAAGTTTACCCTCATGTTTTTCGTAAGATATTGTTCACAGTTTGAATTGCTAAATGTAGCCAGTCGTTCCTCTTTGAACTGGTTTACAATTATACCCTTATTAGAGAACGCTCCCCTTAATAATTTGGAGTTGGAGTTAGGAGATCGAAGGGGTCAGATCGGAGTTTTTTACTAAAGGTTTGCCTGTCTGAGTTACACAACGTTGGAGTTTCTTTTCGCCTTTAAGGCAGGATCAGATGTAAGTTACAGCCTATTGTATTCTATTTCATTTTCCTTCCGATTCCTTTTCTTTTGTAATTAGTCATAGCACTTTTCCTTATCTTGTACATTGTAATTTTCCCCGCTTAGTTTTCACTGCAAGTGTACAATATTCATTCAAACAATTTGATGATCAGATTAAATGTTGTTGAATCAACTTGTGTTGTCTATTTTTGCACTGTGGTTGGCACTTCCTGAACTCCAGTGCACCACGCCCCACGTTCACTGCACTGGGTACGTGACAATATTGATAACATCTTTGTGTCAACTTATTTGTGTTTTAACAGAGTATTGATTTATGGATCTCATGCCATATTAATCAACTTGTGTAAAAATGAAAATGGGAAAATTCCATTCAGTTCTGCATCTGTGGTCTTGTTGAGTGAAGTTATAAAGGTATTATTGGTAATTTATTGCACAGTGTATGTTATGGTTGAAGAAGCCTTTTTCTTTCTTATTTTATTCATGAATGTTTTTGCCATCATGTTCACCGCTAATTATTTTAGCACTGATTGTCTGAAATTTTCTCTTTCTAGTTTGTCTTCTCTGTTGCCTTCCTGATTCCAGAGATGTTGTGTGGTGTAGTTCACTTTCCACCAATAAAAACCCTTTTGTTGTTTTCCATCCCTGCTTTTCTCTACTGCATGAGTAACAACACAGCAGTGCATGTCCAAGAGTATCTTGATCCAGCAAGCTTTCAGGTATAATTTAAGTATGATTATCAAATTCTTCATTGAAGTATCGGTGAAGTATGTAATAGTATATACAATAATTCCTAATTGCCCAAGTTTATAAATTGTAGAAATTTTTGTCTTTTGGAAAATTTTAAAAACATCCTCTAAATTCCATAATTTTTTTTTTATTTTTTTTTTTATTTTTTTTTTTTATGATTTAGGTCCTGTGTAATTTTAAGATAGGGATAACAGGCATTCTGTACTGGCTTGTCATCAGAAGGTAACTTTTAAAGAAAATTTTAATTTTATCACAGCGTAATTCTCATTTATCCTCATTATTAGCAGATGAAAAAAAATCTAAAGTAACGCTGAAATTTACTTGAAACTTGTAATCAGGAGTATTTCAGAGAAGCAATGGATTGCACTTGGACTGATAACTTTAGCTGGATGTTTTAACAGGTTAGTTACTTGAGACTTAGTTATACTTTACTAACCCTGAACCCTAACTTAATCTTATTTTTAGCATGGCTTTCATCTTGTAGCCCATTTAATTTGAGTTAATCAACCATTACAAGAGAAGAGGTGAAAACTTGTGATCTTTTTCTCATATAGTTATGGTGGACTGAAAAATACTCAAGATATAATACAAGTGCGTAATAATGCTACTAACAGGGGAAGGCAGATTTATGTCACTATTACTGGAATCCTTTTGATGATATTTTACTGCACAATGTCAGGACTGGCTGGAATTTCAACAGGTTATTTTTAATTAATTTATGAGTTATTTGAGGCATTGTATTGTTACCATATAATATCTAATTGATTCCCTTCATTCTATGGATATTTGTGTTTTTTTTTAAGCAATGGTACCATAGACTGTTGTTCATTAACCATGAGTCTTCAACATGTGTTTCCTTTTCCCAAAGAGAACTGTAATGTCTATGAACCTCACTGATCATGGCCAGTCATTGTGAGTGGGTTTGTGTAGATTTTTATATGTTAGTGTGAACATCTTATTGCAAATTTTTTCTTTATTTATTAGAATACATATTGAAGAGGCAGTATAAGGTAACTTTGATGCATTAGTCATTTAGTAATACATTACAAGTTTGTTATACCAGAATATTAATAAGTCAAATTACCAGTCATAACTAATTAAGGGAATGGATGTAGGTCAAACCAAAACAAAGAGGAAAAAAAAATGAAATCACCTGTGTTTCTTGGTCAGTCGTCTTTTCCATTTTTGTATTTCATGAATTAAGAAAAAATATAAGGATGGTCTTGGAACATTTTACTCATCAGCCTGGGAAAATCTGAAACCACAAGGTTGGTGATTTTGGATTATGTTTCACAGCAGAGGGCCCCCCCCCCTTCCATAAGAAAATTGAAGATTGGCTACTTTTCCCCCTCAAACTGAAAATCATGTTATCAAATAGAAAGAAACCACAAAAGAAAAAATATCACTTAAAAGCATCAAACAAAATTGAAACCCAAATATTTATAATGAGAATGTATTTAACTTTATTTCCTCTCTTTTAGTGACAACATTTTATATTGTTCTTTAATGATCTGGGAATTAAGAAAATTGTATGCCTGAGAAGGAGATTTGTTTTGTATCTGTGAGACTCCCAGGTAATATAAGTCTATTGAGTTGGCATACATGGAAATGACTGTGATTTTCAATATGAAGTAAGTACAATTTCTTCATTTACCAGCTTTCCCTTCACTTGCAAAACACTTTGATGTATTCGTATGGAATTATTTTCAACCTTTGGGCTTACACTTCAACAAATCACTCAGTGGGAACCATCCATGACACATCTACAGGTCAGTTTGATGCAGTCTAAGGAAGTCATCGTAACCTAGAGAAAATATTAGAAAGATTTCTTGATTCAATGTTCTCCAGGTTTAGGGGGAACAAGTAGTGGAATCCGAATTTCTGGAAGGTATTTGTTGGTTGCAGGAGTCAAAACTGGATAATTACTTCATGATGTACATTTTTGTTCAAAACAGTTAAGAAGCATTTAGAAAACCATTGAAAGTGTTGAAGTGATTTGTCAATTAATGTAGTAAGTTATTTCCTTCTCAACTTTTTGTCTTCCAAGCTGCTCATAAACATTTTTGTTGTCTTTTCGTGTTTTAGGATTTTTTCATGGCTATTCAAAGTGGACTGTGGTGATCGTTTTCTGCCAGGTAAAATGTGTAAGCTTTCACATGACGAGATAAAAGCAAACAATAAATGGATATATAAGTCAAACCAGGGTGCACTCAACAAGCGTTTCTACAAGAATGACATGCCACAAGCTCGTTACTCACTCCTTCCCCAAAATATACCTTTCATAGAAAATGTTCATACCATTAACAGTTAATTTTTGTCACGATATGGAGAGAACTTTTTAGGCTAGAACAGATTTTGATGGTGGGGGATGAAGGCTAGACAGGCTGGGTTTGTTGAGGCAAAGAAATTCATTTTTTGCAATCATGACTCAGGCTCTTCCCGTTCATGCATCATCACATCAATGCGTGGGACCACGAGAGAAGAAAGAAACAACCTTGTGATGGATAAAAAGCAGGGATGAAAAGACATGTTTCATTGAAAACAGTGATTTGTACTCACTTTTGTCTTGACTAATCCTCTAAAACAGGTTGACCCTTAAAATGCATGAATGACTAGACCTCAGGAAATACTCAGTCTTCTTGTAGGAATGAAAAGGGTTCCTCTTTCTGGCTGAAAATCTACATAGGAGAATTTTTTTTACCTCTAGGACAGCCCCCTGTATGTGTGTTTGGAGGGGGGGGGAGGGGGGATGGTACCTTAGTATTACACCAAAGAGAGGTTCATGACAGAATACTTTTTCCTTTGTTAACTTCCAGGCCATGAATGGACTAATTTTATCAGCGGTTATGAAACACTCCAGTAACCTGATCCGCTTGCTCATTATAGCTTGTGCAATGAGTGTGAACACAGCCCTGTCCATGGCGATATTCTCACTACAGCTTAACCTCTACTTCAATGTTGCTTTCATTTTGGTCATTGTGGCTTTGAAACTCTATCACAGCTGAGGTGAGGGAGTAAAAATTATCACCAGTGAAAAACAGTTCTTTCCTTGCGTGTGGTTCTTAAGCTACTAACCTGGTAAACTTACCAGGATAAAGAACAGAGCTTATGTATCCGAGAAAATCGCTTAGTCTGAACTACACAACAATTTCTGGTGATTCATTTAATGTATTATGATGTATTATAAATTATTAAAAACTAGATCATTGGATAATGCAATTCAAGACTTTTTATTGGCTTAGCCATCATGGTATATCAGCCACTATACCATAATCTACAAATATGGTAAGCGTACGTGTCAGCTTAAAATTAAAAGGGAGCTAAGAATTTAATAAAATTTAATAATTTAATTTAACGTTTTTAATAAAACAATTATTCCACTCGCGCTTGTTGGATATGAGATGATTATAGCCAACTCGGCGCTACGCGCCTCGTTGGCTATCTATCATCTCATATCCAATGCGCGCTCGTGGAATAATTGTTAAATATTCGTTGCTTGAATAATTATTTTGTTTATTTTCAAAATCTCTGTAAAGAAGCACTGTGACCTAAAATAATTATTAGTATAGGTAATCACATGATTTCGAGTGCAATTTGGAATAAATGAGCACTAGTAAATTTTTTCAAAGACTAACAAAATTGCATAAGCCCGTAGAAAATCATGTGATTATCTATTAATAATATACATGAAAAAATACGAGGTAGCTTCTCATAACTACGCAGAAGAAAAGCGCGCGCATCACGTGCAAAAATAATTTATTCAAACCGTGCAAGTGACATTGACCTTGACATTAACATTGACCAATCATTCTGACCAATCAGAATGTCTGGTTTGTTTCTTTCTTTGCACTGAATTAACCCTCTTCTGCACTGAATTAACTCTCTTCTGCACTGAGTTAACTGAAAACTGCATTCATCTTAACCAATCAGAACTGAGAAATTTGTTCATGTATATTATTAGGTAACAAAAAAAAAAGAACGACCACCCACTTCCGAGCCGGTTAAGAAACAAAATCGCGCGTCGAGAGTTTGATTACCGACCATTTTTCGGTACTGTTATTGAAAGAAATTAACAAAATTTTGGTATCTGTGTGGTATGTACTAGAATTACTCACCTCAGTTTCGGTAAAAGTGATGGATATTTACCTCCACTTCAGTGAATAATTGTTAAATATAGTGAATAATTTGTAAGTAAAACCCACTCTGAACGTGCAAAGCGATTCAATTCGCGCAAAAGTATTTGTTTAATTAGCTCCTAACATACTTATGGTAATTTAGTGTTACACCTTGCCACAAACTCTGTAATTTTTTTATTTCTCCTTGACAATGGCGCCATGATGACACCGAAATGTCGGTCTTTATCGTTGGTTTTTGCCAGTCTTTGCATTTCCAAATCTTTATTGATAAGAATTTGTAAGTATGTTCATAAATAAAGGTTTAAAGTAGTTTCAGTGAAGTTAATCTATTGAGAAGTAACTATTTAGTAAATTTTATTTAGTACCCATGTTGTCATGTTCAAAACCAAGTCGTAGACACAAAACCAATGAAGGAAAAATTGGGATTGTAACACATGATTCGCCAGCTTTTCACACGGCCCCGCGCGCTCAGCCCCATAGAAAACCATAGTGAAAGCTAGCGTGTGTAGGGTCGGACAGGTCGCTGGTGAGCTGCGCCGGAAAAAGCCGTTCGGTCCTGCACTCACACGGCTCTTGGGAACTTGAATCAAAATTGTGGACTTCAATTTTAAATTTAAAAAGTTTAAAAGAAATGAGAAAATGAGTCACGCTTTTCCTTCTTTTTGACGTCGAGCCAAATATTTTACCGTTTGCCCTCTTTCTCCTTAGGCATTTTAATATGTATGAATAACTTCGGACGCGTCTTGTGAAGAGAACAAACTGATTTAAGATACAAGACTTAGTAGAGAAATGTCCGTGGCGAAATGATGATAACACTTTTCACTGCTGAGATAAAACAGTTTTTGAAATGGGGACAGAACTAGAAAAGCTTATTTCTGGCTGATAAAAATGTATGTTAATTTATTCCGCGCGTCAGTCGCGGGTCACGTATTTGGTTCAGTTACTCGTACGCATCTTGATATACTGATTGTAAAGACACCCCAATATTTATATCTATAGCATTCTTAAAGCAATATAGCGACGAGTGGTGCTGTTTCTCTGAGAGCTGCGTTGTTTGGTGATCCAAAGATTAGTTGATAGAAGTTTTCTAAGTGAATTAGAGAACTGTGGCATATATTATATTGGCTGTGCAGCGGAAAGATTAAAGCAATGCGGAAAAATGGAGTGAAATCATGCAAGATTACACTTGTTGTTGTTTGTAATAGCTGTTTTTAATAACGTCAGCAGGACTTCAATGGCAAAGGATAGCCTCTTGGATCGTGGCGAGTTCGTATACTCGTCTGAAGATGATGACGAAGAGACAAAGAATCCTCGTGGGTGCGCCAGTTCCTACCTAGTTGAAGAACGAGAGATTTCGGGCAAGATGCCTCCAAAGTTTCGTCAGCGCTGGTTTAGAGCCGCTTCGTTGCTGGCGCTGGTTTCATTTATTTCGGCGGTTGGATTTAGCATAGCGTCGATCATAATTTCACAAACAACTGAAAGTTCAGCTGTGTTTGCAACAGGTTTTGACGCATTCTTCGCGGCCATAAATGTGATCGCTGTATGTTGGAGATTTCGTGACGAACTCAACGGAGAAATCGGAACGAGGAGAGAGAAGAACGCCAGTGCAGTTATAGCGACTACTTTCATACTCGGTGGAATTGCAACTATTGTTATTGCACTTCACAACCTCGAAATTGATGATCATCCCACCAAGACTGACAAAATGAAGATACTTCTTGGTGTGGGTGCTTTGATGTACGCAATTCTTACGTTTCTCCAGTGCTATGTTGCACAAATCTTAAACAGTCGGTCTATGAGAGCGCTAGCAGTGGATTCAGCCCAAGGCGCATTTATGTCCATTGGAGTGGTAGCATCTACTTACATTTATACCGAGTTTAAGCAATTTTGGTATCTGGACCATGTGGTAGCGACAGTAGTTGGTGCTGTGTCTTTGATTTACGGTATTAGTTTAATTGTAGAAATACTCGAGTTAAATGTAAAAGAAAGATTAATGTTAGCTTTCCAGAGAGAATTTTAAAAATATTTGTTCAGCTTTAATATATGTAGATATTAAAAATTTACATTAAATAAAGTTTTTAAAGTTCATTTAAATCCAAGTCTATTGTAGTCTTTCTTTTCTCCAAAATGTTATTAAAAATTGAATATCTCTTCAAACGTAGCTCAGAATTGCCTCTGGAAGTAATTTGTTATTACCAAAAAAATCGTGATGTTTAGTGATTTTTTAACCCAGATACAGGTAATGCTTTGATTCCGAACATAAATTACTTTCTATGTACCGCGAAAATTGCATGAGAGAACACCGGTAGAAAGTGGATTGTGCCGAACACGCATTCGACAATCAACTGTCTTTCACACAAGGATTCCAGGATATAAATAGTAGTGATAGTAAAACTTTATTGAAAGTGTCAAGAGCCGTCTAGCTGGGGAAAAATCCCTTACTAACTTGGGGACAGTAAAAAAGAAAAAAGACTAGGAGATATTTACAGTAGTATATATCTTAAAACTAAGAGAAAATCCATAGTTAACTAATTACGGGATTTGTATTAAAAATATATCAAATTCAAGAGGAGCAGAGGCTACAGCGTGTGCAGCCATCATCCAAGAGCTCACTTATACTGAGTTGGCGTATCTTGCCTTTGAATGACTTGAGGCCGGGTCTGGACCTCCCTTATACTCTTGGGTAGGCACGTTACACTTGTGTCTGCTGATGATATTTCTTCGTTTTAATGAAACAGAACGCTTTTCTTTTGTTGCTTGATAGCTTGCATGAAGATATTCGAATTACAGAAATACAGAATTGCGCGCAAAATATTGGTCACATCGCGTGTGTTTTTGCGCCCGCGCCGACACCGCGATAATCAGTGGAGGAGAAATTGAATTTACATTAAGTGTGCAAGATGGCAAAATGCCAGCAGGAAATGCCCCCTGGGGTCTGCCACCTTGCTCATGTAAGCAGCAATTTGTGAGAAACTGAATATGTTGACCCAGTTTGTATGAAGCAGAGCATAAACAGGTAAATTTGCTAATCATACGTCTTCGTTTAGTTGATAGGGATAATCGGTACATCTTTCCCACTGATCACAAGAATTATTGCGTAGGTTTTTAACTATCAGTTAAATATGGCACAATAACGATTAGTTGTATTCCAGGAACGGCCTTGCAGGGACTTTACAAAGCAATGGACAATCAGTTTGTAACAAAATTCTCAACCGCAAGGTTTGCCTTCTTTGCTCAGATGATACAGACCTTCGGAAGCCAGAAATGAGCTCATTTTAATGGTAAGAAAACTTCCCTGAACACAATTTTAGTGCCATTTCGTTTAAGTGTGCAGCAACAACAACAAAAAAGCAACGAAAATAAAAGTTCATGTCTTTAATTTGCATCCATATCAGTCTCGTGCCCAGGCCTTTTCGCTGCAAACATCTAAGTTTTCAGCAGGGAAGTTTAGCAGTTAAGTAGCCTTTTGTGTTTTCAGCTGTTTAGGCTGAGCAATTTTTACATCATCACCTTCAGCGGACCAGTCTCGGTGAAAAAGGGATGCCTGCCAGGCTATGGTCCCATAAACACTTTTAAATTGGCCACCCATTATATTACTTCTAACTGCAACCCAGTTTCATTTTTGTGCCGAATGTTAGAAACGCAATAACTCAATAAACCAACAAAAGTGGTCATGTTTGACCATTTATTTCTGAACGCCTGTCTACAAACACCTCAATACAACGAGAGACAAATTATATAATTGTGCGTGTACGACACAGTAACAGCTGATTTGCAACCTTAACAAGCCCTGGAAGCAAGAAAGACATAACTACAGCGAGAAAAAACTAACGTACTTTTTAAATTTCCATTCATTCATTCATTCATTCAAGAGGCGATGATGCAAACACCACATTTAATTTGAAATAATTTTGTAACTCTTTTTTTGTGGAGTGAGCGACTGGCATGTTGATTTAGTACAGGATTTTGATTGCGCGAAAATTAACAAAACAGTCCGGATCCTTTCCCGCGATTGACTGAGCTCGGAGGCCTGCGAACGCAGTCACACCCCCTTTGTTCTCTTTATGAGAACAAGAGAATTCGCATTATTTATTGTGATGACGCATCTGAAAGTAAACTTTACGCGAAATCACAATTTGGAATTAAAGTAACTATTTCCTTTTTACGGTTCATGGAAATCTTGAGGAAAAAAGGGCCCATTAAATGACTCAAGTATGCGTATGGACAAAAATTCGGTTTTCTCCTAACTCTTCAACAAAGTTTTGGAAGTTTAGCGCAAAATACTATTTGGAAAATTAGATGGATTCCATATATGACGGATATAAAACCGATAAATAACGCCACTGAATGATCTAACATCCAAACGCTTTTTCCTAGTTGCCTGTAAATGAACGTCGAAACTAATACTCCCAGTGACATACCCGCTGCCAGCCATGAATCAATGGCGGATGCTTTTAATGAAATACTATCAAGTTTCTTGGCGATGCAGTCTTGAATGAGAGCGAGAAAGAAATAACAAGAGAAACTCGAAGCTAGAATTATGATAAGTTCATCGGGTTTCTCAGGGTAGTCTTTTGCCATCAGATGTAGAATGGCAATCGCAATGGTCGCGCTTCCACTCAGCATGAAAGTTACTGCGATTCCAAATGCAGAAATTTTCTCTCGCTTTGGTGCGAGTTCACCATTGGAAGCATCTCGAAATCTCCATGCTACGGCCAGAGAATTGAAAGCCCCCATAATCCCATCTAATGCACTAGCAAAAATAGATGAACTTTCTGTGCTTTTGGAAGCCACGAACGAGAGCAAACTGAATGCAACTGTGACGAGTAATGAAGCAATGGAAGCCATAAATGCTGCACGACTCCATTTTTCGCGGAAATTTTGAGGCAGGAATGTTCTGATTGGCGCTTTAGTTTCCTCCAAATATGAAACGCAATGTTTGTCCAGGAGATGCTGTTTGTCTTCTTCGTCCTCATCTGTGAATGCCTCCATTGTTAAACTTCGCTGAGACGATGGAGAATCACTGCCACTTTCCATTCCTAATTCAGGACAGATTTTTGAAATCAGGTGTTTCAATATTCTTGTGTTGTTTTTCTTCTGTTGTCGATTGGTTTAAGCCATCTTCACGCGATCACTAGAAGGGTACTTTTGAAGTGGTTACGTATCACCCTGATTCGGCATTCACATGAGCCACCTTGAATTAAATTGATTCTTTCGGTTCAATTAAGCGGAATTCTAGAACCGCTCCGTTTGCAATGCCCTGTTTATGGTTCCCTTTTGCCAGTCAAACGATTAAGAGCAATTAAGAAAAGCCAAATTACCAAGCATCTCCAGCAATTTACAGTTAATATAGAAAACTACATCCGGCAGGCGGCCATGAGAGATGAAAATTTCGAGGGATTTGAAATATTTGTTTTTGCCTAAGTCAATGCTAAAATGGTAAACATTTCGTCAACGCAAATACTTGATGCAAATAAGAGAGGCTGTGTGACGAGGTTGCCATCGAGGCTGTTATACCCCTCAAGAAAAATGTTTATTCAAGGCTCCCATGATGACAAAGGCATTGATCACGACACTCTGTTGAGACAATTGAAGAAAATGTGACTCCCACAGCCGGGGGGACAAAATAGTCAATAGAAATACTCTTACAAAGCGGAATGTTTAACTTGGCTGCTGATCGCCTTTTTAAGCGCTGTTAAAAAATAAATAATAGAAATAAAAATAAAAACTTGTCGAAAAATTATGTGATCTGAGTTGCGGTGAAATGGCTGGCGCATATCATATAAAGGTAAGTTTTGCAGTAGCACTTAATTTTATCACACAAGTTAAAAAAAGCAGCTGTGATTTGGATATTAGATAGTTAACAGACCTGTCTACCGTCTAAATTAGCGTGGGCGTATATATACTGCGCCTCTTAATTGGAGCTTCAGAACAGTTTGAAAAAACGAATTTGCCGCATTGGGATGTATTAGTTGTTACTTGATGATCCTGGATAAAGTACTTTTTAGTAATTTAACAGAATGGATTACAAGGTTCTCTTATAAAAATAAATAGAAGAAAACAATCTGGGTAGAGGGTACAGCGAAGAAGCTGCGATCTCACTGGCTTTACTGTTAATTTCAAAAAGGGCTGAAAACCAAGCCATTCAACTTGTACGGAAATGTTTTGCTGTTTAATGACATATCTATCGAAGAAAAAACTCATTGTTTGATGATGATTAGGGATGGCTGTAAGCGATGAGAGACTCAAGTGTATTAAAACAAGAAAGTTACCATCCAATACGTCCCTGGTTTCTCCGCTAACCAACTCCGAAAAATTCAATACGCCCAAAAAAGTTAACAACAGTTCTTTGCTTGTGGAAGCTGTGCCAACCGAGTGAACTCGACTGAGTTTTTTTAGTTGATGCTACTGTGAAAAATTCTTACTTTTGAAACTAAACCTCACTAGTAAATAATCTGTTCTGACTCTGTAGAGTAAAATGAAGTATTCGACTTCAGGCAACGTGCACAGAGATATCTTGTTGGGATTACTAAACCACCATGTTTGACCGCCGCCTGAAGTCTTCGCTCGCCAGAAGTACGGCTGTGATGAGAAGTAAACTTCCGGCTTAGGAGGGTATGGAGGGGGTGGGAAGGGGGGAGGGGCAAGGTAATCTACTCCCCTGGTGCCAAGCCGGGTCGAGATTGAGTTCAGTACCAATTCACAAGCATCATGGGGGAATGAAGAAAAGATGCACTTTGGAAGTTGTTCTCTGATCATCGGTTCCGCGGTCGAGTTGACAGAATAGCATTAGACCTCCGGCAAACTCTCTGCGCTTACTCATAGGCCATGCAGCGCCTATCTATGTAGTGATTCAGAGCTTGAATGATTGATTGATTTATTCATAGGTTAATGGTCGACGTTAGCTTTTTGTTCCAAGGGGCGTTTGAGGTTTCCTATTACACTTATTATTATGAAAGTGAATTAGAGCATGCTATTGCATGACAAGGCACGATATTGACCACTTTCATAAATGGCTGCCGGATTAATATTCTTTTGTTTCAATTTAAATTAGCCTTTCTGGCCTCGCTTGAGATAATGTATTCTTTTGAATTTTTTACTGGAGAACGAGGCCAGAAAGGCTAATTTAAATTGAAACAAAAGAATATTAATCCAGCAGCCATTTATGAAAGTGGTCTATTTTGAGTGCCATGGGGACCTAGCGGTTTCTGGTTATACATTTAATAGGAAGCAATTAAAATCTGTGTTGAACTTGGTCATCTAACGCCTTAATTTTGAATTTCACGGACGAAAATTTTATAATGAATGCTGTCGTAAAGGATATTTATAGCGACTATTACCTCGTGGGCGGCGGAACCTCAAGTTGTTGATTGCTCACCTACAGCACGTTTCGAACTTGCTTCAGCGAATTTATTTAACATGTTATTAACATGTTATTACAGAATTGTGAAGTTCACGAGAATGATCACGTTTTTCTAAGGATTCATTTAAATTCATCGTATGAATAAACACTCGAAAGACATGTTCGCCGGAAATGAAATGTTTACGTGATATTTTCCCGCCATAATTTCGAGATATTTGACCAGCGGTGAACTTTTTGCTAACAATTGGCGCTTACCAGCAATCGAGAACCAGTGGAGTTTGATATTTTGAGCTTTAGCCGATTTGATCGCGTTTAGCGGTTCTGTTCACGCTGTTACACCTCAGGCTCTGTTTGTTGCTATTGTTTTTGCCCTTTAGCGACCTGAGTTCGCGAGAAATTGCCACATGAAGTTTTAAATTCCGTCAACCTGCAATCTAAAGCAAAATGCAACGAACTTCAGTCGTTCACTATGCCTTGCTCTGTTCTTTACAAATGATATTTTTGGATCGCGGATCCAGTCATAAAGGTGAGTCTTACAATTTACAATTCATTCTCATGACGGGATATTTCGTAAGAGACATTTGTTCTGACCTGTTGTAGCGATCAGATTGAACTTTCTGTGCATTTGTTCGCTTTGGAAATCAGACATCAATTCGTTTCTCTGTACATTTGATGAAGCACAATGCACGAATATGTTTTGTGCGCTATATTTCTTTAAAGGAAAATTGTATCGTCATTGTGCCTTCAAAGTGTAGTGGCTTAGAGATCAAGCCGCGTTTCCAGTCCCAAGGGATAATCAAGCTTACATAACATAACACGAGTTAAATTAAAGTACAGGTATGAGTAATTTAACCTTAAATTGTGGTTTTGGCAAGGGGAATAATTCTTTGATGATAAACTGTCTCACTTCCTTTTCGGTTAAGCTGTACGTGTGCTTCGCGCATTAACGATGAAGTGGTAAATTGAAAAGCTTGATTTATCAGGATAAACGTAACTGTTTATGCAAATCAAGAGAATAAAACATGTGACTTCAGTCATATCTTAAGTGGTGCCATTCTAGTAGTTCCATGAATGAATCGTCAAATTCTAATCTCAAGTTAGGTCTTTTTTAATTGATCAAGTGTTCCACCGCTTAGATCTAGAGAAGTTCGCCCGTGAAGCCTGTTAAAAAAAGTTTAGAAGCACACAATGCCCTTTTTAGTCGGTTAAAGTAATGTCTGTGCTTGAAACAGGAGCAGCTGTCATGCTTGATTGATCAAGTGAATCGATCACAAAAACCTTCCGTTGAATACCTTCTCGAAGGAAGGCAAGTTATTGATATCTGTGGTTAGCAGATGGTCATCACATCCTTTGTTCCGGCTTACCCCACAAACAGTGATTCTGTTTAATGGTGGTATTTGGGTTAGCTGAATAAACATTTTAAGTTTCATTGTCTATTTTTACATTGTGTCGAGGTTAATATGTCCCTTTAAAAAGCGACAAACCGATGAAAGTTAAAGTGGAAATGCCATGATAGCGTGCGTAGAAGGGAACAAAATGTTATTTTATTGCCAAAAATTTCGGACAAAATGCAAGCCACCTGATTAAATTGGCGGAAACCGCACAAAACCAAAACAACCATTTCTCTTCCTTTTTCGTCATCATATTTCCTCGTTTTCGTGCCTTGTATTTCCCTTACATACCGAAAGGAGACATCTTAAAGGTTTGAAAAGAGCATGTCACTGAGTCAGAAACGGGACGAGTGTTATGAAATAAATATAGATCTTTCCGTGATACTTCAGAGGTTGGCCTTAGATAAGAAAATAACAACAGGCATAGGGTCGGGTCACCGCCAAGCTTTACATATTTTACTAAATTAATTTAATTAGATAATGTCATTAACTGTTTAAGTAAGAGGATCTTTGATAGAAACGGCGAGAGACCCGAAGATTGTCTCTGTAGAGTGCGAAATCTGAATTGAACTGGTCATGGGGCTGTAATTCATTCACGGAATAAACCGCATGGCATGGAAGTAACTGGAGAAAATTAGCGCCGGGTCGCTTGCCATCTGTTTTGTTACATAAACAAAAATTAGTACAATTTTGTTTAAGACTGACAAGGCAATATGATTTTGAAAATCTTCGCTTTTCTTTCCCGTAGCCATGGATTGTGATATCACGTAACACTTGCTCAATTTGTGTGACATCTAAAGCTCATCAGAGCGAAGGCCATACCGTTCTTGTCACGGCCTAACTTAGCCCAGACATTTGAAACAACCATATGGTTTTGTAAAAGAATAAAAAAGGTAGTCGTTGAACACTCTATGCCTGCATAAAAACTTCAAAGAATTCACCTTGTCAGCAACTAGGTATTAATACTGTAATACTGGAACTAAATGAAAATGAAAGGGACTGAGCACGATCAAAGTCAGCGAACAATGTCTGCAGTAGCAGCAATATTTACGGCCATTTATGGATTCTTTATCTTTTAAGTGATCGGTTGTTGTTCAACTTTTTGTGTGGGGAAATTTTTCATTCGCACGAGTATTACACTATTAAGGATGTCGAAAGCACAATTTGTTTTGTTTTTTGTTCAAGGTAGAGTAAAAAAGAAAAAAACGAAAAAGCCTCAATATATTAATATATAATATTAACATGTGGGTCTGCCGTGAATATTTACATTTCAATCAAATGTTTTTATTACGTTAAACGTGCCTGAATCTTTTTCAGGCACGTTTCAGACTGTCGTAAACAGTTACAATTTAATCAATTGTTTTTATCACGTTAAACGGGCCCGAGATAAGCAGACATAACAGATAAATGTGTAAATTTCGTTTGCGTAAGCCGCACCACGTGGGTTTAGCCATTGTTAGCGAGTCACATGACTATTGTTTTCTAAAGTTGTCTTTCGTCTGTTGTAGTTACAACCTATGGTTCCAAGGGGTCTAATCGATTCGTTAATTTCGGGAAGAGATTTTAACCGTAAGAGTACTTGTTCACAGTTAAACACAGTTTTAGTTGGTTTGCCAAAGATCGGGAACAGAGAACAAAATCATACAGTGTGTGCGGTTGACAAAACAAGGAATTCATTCAATGCCCCTAAATCCTCTTACATAACCCAGGGATTATCTGACACAAAATGTGGATTTTTCCGAATTCTTTTTACATCTGTAACTTGGTACTCCTAGTTTGGTTATTTTGTGCGAATGTGGATTCAAGCAGTCGACGGTCTCCAATCGGTAAGACGGTGCAAGGTTTTGATCGTTATGACTAATCATGATTATTTTTTTTTTAGTTTGTAGTGAAATTTTCCAGCACGTGCCCTTTGTTTTGTTGTGCTCTGATGGGTTTGTCCTAATGCTGTCTGTTAATACATTGTTGTAAAACCTCACCTTTCCCGTTCAAAAAACCACACATTGGTGGTAGCACACTGTTGATCGAATAGTATGTTCTGTTCATGTAGCACTAATTCTCGCCATCTTTGATTCAGTCTCTTCAGCCACATTTAACTTCCTTTAGCTTCGGTAAAAGTGTTCTTTCAGGCATTATCCATTTTCTTTCGGAAAGTTTGAGTTGGCACGCTCATTGGAAAATGAGACTGAAATGAGATTGGAAAATGAGAAATATTAGAAAATGACTGTCTTTTGCGAGCTGATTTAACGCTTGATGTTTACTCGATATCGTTGCCAAACTGTTTTCTGCTTTTGTTTTTGCTTTGTTTTGATTTTTCGTTATCAAAATCCGGAATACAGGAAAGTCAATACACTTCTCATTTTCAAGTAAAATTAAAAAGATTCATATCTTTCTGTGAAAAGCCAGTGGTAGAGACGTTGTTGATTAATACGTTATCAATACAGACGTGCAAATTAATGTGGCTAAGGCCCTCCACAGACTAGGGATTTAGTTGTCGACAACTATTTGTGATCGACCACCAAAAGTTGTCGGCAACTAAATAAGTCCGATAAAGGATTCCACACACTGACGCTCAAATACTGATTTAGCAACCGATACGCGGGGAGCGTAATTCAATCAAACATGGACAAGGGAATGCTCTCCTCTGGTGTATTTTTTTGACCTTTAAAGAGCATTTGATACTGTCAATCACTCTATCCTCCTTTATAAATTATGCCATTACGGCGTCCGGGGTATAGTTAACGACTGACTCTCCTCCTAGCTGTCAAATAGAATCCAGACCCCACTCAAGTAGGTCCCCACGTATCTAGAAAGGAAAGTACCCTTTGTGGCGTTCCTCAGGGGAGTTTACTTGGCCCCCTACTGTTTCTTATTTATGTAAATGATATCTACATGGCCTCAGACAAGTTAACCTTTCACCTTTTTGCTCATGACACTAACCTTTTATATCGACTAAATGTTTTCTTTACCAAGTATTTTACTTCTGCAATCCTCCATGTTTTAAGCCGGCGGGGAAAGCCGCTGACACAATAGCGCGGAGATCTAAAAGTAGTCGACAACTAAAACAAAAGTTTTCACACACTAGAAAAACGCTAAAAAATGAGGCCGTCAACAACTATTAGTTATCGACAACTAATAATTTGCGGTTTAGTTCTCGACAACTTGCGCCACAGACTACGTTTTTTAGTTTTCGATAACTTTTAGTTGTCGATCACAAATAGTTGTCGACAACTAAATCCCAAGTCCGTGGAGGGCCTAAGAAGTATAGTTATTATAAACACCTGATTTTAGACTTAGATTAATTTGTTTAGGACTTTGTGCGCATTCGTTAAAAACAGAAACAAAGCTCACCTCAGATCATCAGGCTTATTTTAAGTGGCAATCAAACTACGAACTTAAAATTTTATTGTGCAAGAGAGTGTTTTTCTTTTCAGTTCTGAATACAGACGTTTTTGATTAGAGGAGCGTGGTTTTCTGGTAATGAGCTTGAAACCCATGATGATATTACTTCTACGACTTGGGGTCTGACGGGGAAACTCCTTTGCGCGAAAAGAGATTTGCTTGTTGCTCAATTCATCCTTTCGTCTTTCTGTCTAACTGTCGATCTGTTCGTCTTAAAACCAGTCAGTCAGTCTCTAAGTCAATCTTTTCATTCATTTGAACTCGTTTGTTCATTCTGTCGTTCGTTCGGTCAGACGGTCCCGTTCTTCTATCAATCGGTCTGACAGTCTGTCCGACTGCTGCACAGTCTATCAGTCAATCGATAAGACTGACTGACTGAAGTTATTCAATCAAGTATGTCCATCCGTCAGTCAGGTAGTCAGGCGTTCCATCCGTTTGAACTCTCATTTTGTCTGTTGCTCTGTCTGTCGGTTGATCCGTCCGTCGGTCTATGAATCAGTCACTCAATCAGTTAGTCTATCTGTGTGTGTGTGTGTGTGTGTGTGTGTGTGTGTGTGTGTGAATGTCAGATCGAGTCTGTGTATAGCATTCCCATAATTATCAGTTATTCTCACTTGAGCTGAATCAGAGCTCAAGCACGACCTGCAGGCAATGTTGTCAAGTTTAATTTTTTTTTATTATTTTATTTTTGCCCGTTATTATACGATTGCTTCAAAATAATTCTATTTTTAGCTTTGTGTAAGCCTGGAAGGTTTGTGAAGAACTCACTCTGTGTGTCGTCGTGTGGTCCTGGTTACTATGGCGACATCGAGAGTGGGGAATGCGAAAAGTGCGATCCCAGTTGTAGCACATGCATTGACAGACCAAAGAAATGTACGAGCTGTGGTCCAGCGCAATATATAAAAGGTAAGGTAGCTGTGAAGTTGAATGAGTTCTTACAGCCTGAATTTTTATTATTTATCCTTAGAACCTCAGAATCTTACCTTTTTCCTTCTCACGTAAGACTGTTGGAATAATTCATTTTTTTTAACACCTTGTAGTTCGAGGTGATCCAAGAGTAGAAATGTGGCATTAATTTTTTGAACTTTTACATAATTGTTCTAAAATTGCTGGTAAGAAGGGCAGCTTGCCATTTTACTGCGACGGGTCGGAGGTTAAGCCCAACGTTTTCGAAATGTGACGTCCGATATTATTTCTTCCCGTTAAGGAACTTCATGTGTGACGTCTTGTGGTAACCAACTTGCTAAAGGCCCTCCAGTTAGCCAAATAAGGCTCGTTGGAGGAAATAACCACTTTGAAGGCCGAATAGAGATCTTCTATGACAACCGTTGGGGTACGGTTTGTGACGATTCATGGGATATCAACGATGCTAAAGTTGTTTGTAGAGAGCTGTTGCTAGGTGACGCTCATGAGGCGGTCACATTTGGAAGACTGGGAGAAGGTTCAGGAAAGCAACCTATCTGGCTTTCAAAGGTTAGACAACCTGTGGGGTCCTTACTACGGTTAGATACCCTGTGAGGTACACACTCATTTCAATACGATTTGTTATCATAATATTATGACTATGGAGGACTTCCCGTTTTGACTCCACTTACCAACTACGACGAAAAAAAACAAAATTAAAACTTCCTTCGGAAACTCATTTGTACATAAAAACTAAACTCACGTTTTTTTCTTTGTTATCGGCATGGATTGACGAATTTACGGATTATAATTCCAGCGAGAAAGTTTTAGGCGCATCACTGCACTTATTGATACACAGGAGCATGAGGATCACATGAAAATAGAGTCAAACGCAAAAAGGTTGTTCATCTTTTATGGATAAAAACGAAGTTGATAAATTCCCAAACACAGAAGCTGACATCATTCACTGCATTGGAGTCGATTGTTTAATATTATTTGGTTGAGAGAGCGTTTTCTCTCGTTGTTGGGAATACTTCACTTCTATTTCATTGTATTGTCCTTGTTCTCTCTCAAGAATAGATTTTATATTTCACGTTCTTTCTACATTCAAGGTCGATTGCCTTGGTAACGAGACGAGACTGCACAATTGTGCGCATCCCGGGTGGGGTGAGCACTCCTGTGGTCACTTTGAAGATGCTGGTGTACGCTGCGCGGGACCTGATACTACACGGGAATGTACGGATCAGTGTGGAGACGGTTACTTTAGTGATCGAGATAATTGCAAAGTGTGCATGGCTTCTTGTTTAACTTGTAACAAATCTGCAAGAAATTGTACATCTTGTGATAAGCCCCACTTTTTGAAAGGTACGGAATCTTTTAATAAGAAAATTAAGGCGACATTTTTTGTCGGTGAAAGAACACGTTTTGGCATCGAGTGAAAACCCTTCAAGAAAGTTTTAAGATCACCAGCAAAAAGAAGTTGATTAAAAAAATGCTAAATTTACCTCAACGGCTGACCTTAATATTTGAATTTTATCTTTGAATTGAACGTGTTGACATGGAAACGTTTGAACTCGCTTTCTTGGTGATAACGTTCGTTTCTTTGGGAAACTACGGGTCAAATCAGATTATAATTAACTGTTTCAATCGCTTTAAACGTAGCGCTACGTAAGAAACTTGTATATTATTTTTAAGAAAGTTTATTCTGACCAGAGCACATAAAACGATTATTTTTATCTCTGTTTTAGGAAACACTTGTACAACGTATTGTGGAGATGGTTTCTATGGAGATCCCGCTGACCGAAAGTGCAAATCATGCAGCTCCAATTGCCGCACATGCGCAGATGGAACTTATCCCGGCGTTTGCACAAGTGCAGGCGTAACGCCTCACGACGTTTGCACCAGTTGTCACGACGACCGATACCTTAATGGAAGTGACTGCGTAGAAAGTTGTGCGGAGCTCCACGTTGGGCAAAAACGACGAGTGCGTTTGGCGGGAAAGAGACCGACTGACCTGGAAGGTCGCGTCGAAGTATATCGCGCGGAAGCCTGGACAACAGTTTGTGACCAAACTTTTGATTTCAGGGAGGCGACGGTTGTATGTCGTGAGCTCGGCCTGGGTCCGGCCCTAAAAGCTGTGAAAAGGTCAGCGTATGGTCGTGGATACGGACGAATATGGACGGATATTCTGAATTGTACAGGACGAGAAAGCACAATTTTTGATTGTCCGCTGGTCAAGCGAAGTTTTAGTTCTCGTTGTTACCATAGCAATGATGTCGGAGTGCGGTGTGCGGGGCCTATAGGAAAACATCTTACAAATCGGTGCCAAAAAACCTGTTACGCAGGTTGGTTCAAAAATGACCTGGATGTTTGCACAATGTGTGCAGCTCAATGCTTGGAATGCACAGGAACAAATGTGCGCTGCACGAAGTGTGCAGCACCCAAGTTTTTAAGAGAAAATACTTGTGTAGGTAAGTGTGCCGATGATGAGTTCGGATACACACCGACACGTGAGTGCCAAAAGTGTAACACTCATATCTGTGTCACGTGTAGTGATGGATCTGATGACAAGAATTGTACCTCTTGCAAGGAGCCAAAAGCGCTAAAAAATGGCAAGTGTGAAGACGACTGTGGACCAAATATGTACAAGAAAAGTGGTCGCTGCGTCGAGGATTGTGGAATTTCCATGTTCAAAAATCCGAGTAACTATTCGTGTCTTCCTTGTCCCAAAGACTGCATCACTTGTGAATTCAGGTTAGATAAAGCAGTTTGCACAATCTGTCATCCTCCACTTGTCCTCGACGAAAAAAAGGGAGCGTGCTTGGCGAACTGCACTTCTGGGATCGCTGTACCTGCCGTCAATTTCACGCTAAAAACCACACCAACAGTAAGGCTGTCCAACGGCAGAGATTACTTGGAGGGTTTGTTGGAAGTTTATCACATGGGTGTATGGGGAACTGTTTGTGATGATGGTTGGGACGCTTCTGAGTCGACTGTCATCTGCAGAGAGTTGTATCTTGGAGGCGTCGATACCTCTGTGTCTTTACGCCATATTCTAAAGGGAACAGGTAAGATGTGGCTGGACGATGTTTTCTGTAATGGAGAGGAGAGATCGTTAAATGACTGTCGCCATCGTCCGTGGGGACAAACAAACTGTCAACATAACGAGGACACCGTTTTGCGCTGCAAGGGCCCAGGAGTGCGTACGTGCAAAGACAGTTGCCCAGATGGCTTCTTTCCGATGGGAAGCGAGTGCTTGCAGTGCAATGCCTCGTGCAAAACGTGCAACGAGACTGCTGATAAATGTCTCACCTGTGTACCGGGTTTCTTCAAAAGGAACGACTCCTGCGTGAAGGAATGTGGCACTGGTTATTACTTGGACGGTTTTTGTAAAAAATGCAGCATGAATTGTGCTGACTGCGAAGGAAAAGCAGACAACTGCATCTCGTGTCCGCCCCCATTATTTAGGAAGGGCTCATCTTGTGTTGAAAATTGCACCAATGGCTACAGGCCCTCATCAGTGCCTCTGATCCGCCTTGCTGGTGGCAAAACACCCTTAGAGGGTAGAATTGAAGTAAGGGCGCTAACATTCTGTCATGATTAATCATCATTAAAAGTGCTCAGTCATGTCGTAAGGATTTTGTTATATGTTAGGTGCAATGTTTGTTTTCCTTTGATACTTGATGTTTTTTTCCGTACGCTGGAAAATTGTGGAAGAAAAGGGAACATAAGAGTGTGTGTGTGTATGTGCGAAGCATGCAGTTTTCTCGAGCTTCGATGTGGAAAAACTGTGCCCAAAGCAGACAATGTCTATTCAAAACAATCCAAGAACAGTTAGGTGGAGGGGGAGGTATTGTTTTAGTGGTTGTTGTTGTTGTTGTTTTTGTTTTTTAACTCGTGTGCGTGATTTTCGTGACAGCTACTTCATGATGGGAAATACGGCACAGTGTGTGATGACGCCTGGGACATTCAGAATGCTCAAGTTGTTTGTAGGATGTTGAACATGGGCAATGCTTCTCGATCGGTCATCCGAGCCGGATTTGGAGCAGGAAAAGGGCCTATTTGGCTGGATGAAGTTCAGTGCTTTGGTAAGTTACCTTCTGCCATTGAATTTCTCTTTAATGGCCTTTAGTTCCGGTGCTCAGGTCTTAAATCAAGACGTACAGGTCTATTCCTTTCTTCTGTTGTTTAGTGAACCCCTTCTGTCGATCTCTCTGGCTTTTCATCGTTCGTCAGTTTGCCGGTAATTACCTGGCTTTGGACCTTTATATCTATTTTAGGGAATGAGTCATCGTTACTTGCATGCAAGCACCTCGGCTGGGGACAGGAAAACTGTGACCACACCGAGGACGCTGGTGTGGTCTGTAAGGGTCCTGATCACTCACGTGATTGCTTAGATAGCTGTTCCTCAGGTTATTTTACAAATCCACTGGATGGAAGCTGCGGTCGATGTAGTCCGAACTGCAACGAATGCCTTGGAACGCCAGAAAACTGCACACTCTGCGATAAGGACAGGTTCCTCAATAGAACTGGAAACTACAGTTCGTGTGTCTTTGATTGCAGAAGAGGACAGTTTGGAGACCCCACTACTAGGATATGTTTGGATTGCTCTCCTGCCTGTTCGGACTGCATCGAAAAACGGAACAAATGCACCGAATGCCCAGTCGGTAAACATCTCCTGGAAAATTCATGCGTGGAGAACTGCACACGCCAGGCAAATAAAATTGTCAGCGGTGTCCCCAACATAAGACTTGTCGGTGTCAACTCCTCGACAGAAGGGCGCGTTGAATTGTTTTATCAGGGAGAATGGGGAACAGTATGCGATGATAGCTTCGACATGAAAGAAGCAATGGTGATATGTCGTCAGCTCAAATTGGGAGGAGCCATTTACGCCTACAACTCTGCAAAATACGGACAGGGAACTGGGAAAATATTGATGGATGACATTCAGTGCACTGGTAACGAACGGAGACTTCAAGATTGTCCTTTTCATACAGGTAGGTTGAATCAGTCGGCACAGATGAATGGGAGAGCTCGAGAACCATGTCACTACTCGAATAAGTATGAGAACGATCTTTGTAGTAACGAACACTACTTAAGCAGTAGTGAAAATGAGGCCTGAAAAAAATTCAGGCCTGCACGGGATTCGCATACATATACACAAACGTTGACTCATCACTTCACGGGTTTATTATGCACCACATAATGACCAGCTCCCAGTTGGCTTGTTAGCTCAGTTTGTAGAGCACTACACCGGTTTCGCAAAGGTTATGGGTTCGAGTCCCGTATAGGCCTGAATTTTTTTCAGGCTTCGTTTTCACTACTGCTTAAGTAGTGTTCATTACTGCGAAGATCGCTCTCATACTCGTTCTTTAACCGCAGTTCAAATATATGACTTGCATATATTTACAAGAGTTGACTACCCGAATAGTCGGTTAAATATCAGCTTCCGTATAAAAGTATGAACAGCGGACGTTCTTTTGTGGTTCTTATAATTTAAAATTTACTTCTAATTTAGTAAATCGATTAATGTCTTTTTGAAACGTTAAAAATAAGCGAAATATTTCACTTGCCTTCCGAATCAACAAAATTTCACGATTTGTTTATGTATCTGAGAGATGTTACTACGCCGGTCAAATGAAGCATTTGAAGGTTAATACGCATTGGAGTAGCAAACCTCTAAGGATAGAAGGTTTTCCAGTTTATTTGCAACCGAAACAGTTACGACAATTAGCTTTCATAAGATCCCCATCCAATGGACATTCACCTCAACTTTGTCAACTCCTTTCCCCTCCTCTTGCGGGTCTCCAACAGAATGTCATGCTTTCCACCTGAAGATTCAGATTCATCTTGCCATGATTATCATAATAGCCCAGGTATTTGTTAACAGTGCTTGTTGTTGTAAACGCGCTTCCAAAACTGTTTTTAAGGTGGATTTGGGTCTCACAACTGTCACCACAGTGAAGACGCCGGAGTGAAATGCTCCGGTCCTGATTTGTCCACAAGGTGTGTGTCCAACTGTGAACCAGGTTTCTACGACACCAAAAACACGTGCAAGCGTTGTCTGCCTCAGTGCAAAGAGTGTCTTGGTAAGGCAGAGCGGTGCTCAAGCTGTAATCCTCCCTATTTCTTGGAGTTTTCGGATTGCGTAAAGGAATGTCCGTTTCGTAAATTTGGGAACACCAAGAATCGGAAGTGTGAGCCTTGCGACAAACAGTGTCAATCGTGCTACAATGGGGAAACGAACAATTTGTGCAAGTCTTGCCGTGAGGGTCTTTTTCTTAGTGAGTATTGAAACAGAACTTTTAGTAACATCACTGCTTTACTATATAAAAAAAGAAAAAAAACGCGGGCTACTTTATTCTTGATGTGTTTAGGAAAGAAAAGAAAGAAAAGCAAAAAGCTGTTGGAGGATTTAAGTTAGGGACACGGAAATAATCTCCATAGAGGGTTGAACTGACTTTCCTCTCGTATGGCAAGAAGCCGTTTACTGACCTCTTTCATTCGCAGAAATGTCTTATTAACGTTATGTTCACGAAAATAATGTCCCCTTTTTCGTCAGAGGGAATGAAATGTGTGGAGGATTGTGGTGAAATGAAACCCGTGTCTTCCCTGTTTCCATCAAAGCTGAAAAAACCTTTGGTTCGTTTGGTGGATGGCAATAGTAAACAAGAAGGAAGAGTTGAAGTTTTTTACGCCGGCATGTGGGGAACAGTTTGCGATGATGACTGGGATCTAAAAGAGGCGTCCATTGTTTGCAAAGAACTCGGCTTTGGAAAAGCAATAGAGGCTCCTAAGCACTCGAAATTTGGACAAGGTTGGTTTAAGATCCAGCAAGACTCTTTTCTTCATTATGATACATAACATCAATTTGGTAAGGGGGAGGGGGAGGGGGAGGTTTTGTGCCACTCCTGTTCTGGAACAGAACCGCGAAACCCTTCGCTGGAGGAAAATTATAAAAGGATTCAAATTGGTTCAAATGGAAATGACACATACCTTTTATGCATTACGTACTTAAACAGTGCTTGCTTATACTTAAGAAAATCAAAATAACTAATTTTGTGTTGTTAGGAAGCGGCATTATCTGGATGGATAACGTGAATTGTCTTGGTTATGAGACCTCTCTTACCCAGTGTAGACAAATTGGCTGGGGTCTGACCAATTGTGACCCATTACACGGAGAAGATGCCGGAGTAGTTTGTGATAACACAACAGTAGAGGAAATCAGCAACAACTACTGTAGAAGGGTCAACGATGGAAAGTGCGAAGATAAAAAGGTACAGGACATTTTGTTTGTTCTTAATTTTTTCAATAAATCTTTTCTGTGGGTAAACCTTTTCATGTTTGTGATCCTAACGTCCATTTTTTCTGTCTTCCCTTCCAGGAGTGTGATTTGATCAACGGTGTTACTTGCGTGAATCTTAATTTCCTTGATCAGAACGGTGTAGAGGAGTCAGTTTGTCTACAATGCCCTGATGGTACCGCTGGTGATGGAAGAGAATGTCGAGGTAGATAGTATTCCCTAATTCCTCTCCTCCATCCCTCCTTTTCATCCCTCCTTTTTATCCCTCTTCTCCATCCCTCTCCTCCATCCCTTCCTCTCTCATTCTTCCATCCCTTCCCCCTCCATTCCTGGCAATCTCCCTTCATTCCCTACCCATCTCTCCATCCCACCATCCCTCCCTCTGTCTTTGCCACTCTTCCTTCATTTCTTCCTGCCATCTCCCTCGTCTTGTCTTCCCTTTCTACCTCCTCCCTTCATCCCTTCTTCATCCATCCGTACTTATCTACCCTCATCCCTTTCTCCCTCCTTTCTTACCCCTTCCCTTAATTTCTCTTTATTCTCTTTCTCTATTCCCCATATCTCCCTCTGCAACCCATATTACTGTCCTTTATTTCCCATATGTCCTTCTGTGACCCGTATTTCTGTCCATTCCCCAAATCTCCCTCTGTGACCCATATATCTGTCCTTTCTCATATCTCCCTCTGTAAGCCTTATTTCTATCCTTTATTTCCCATATCTCCCTTTGTGACCCTTATTTCTCTCTTTTATTTCCCTTATCTCCCTCTGTGACCCTTATTTCTCTCCATTATTCCCCAAATCTCCCTCTGTGACCCATATTTGTCTTTTATTTCTCATATCTCCTTCTGTAACCCTTATTTCTATCCTTTATTTCCCATATCTCCCTTTGTGACCCTTATTTCTGTCCTTTATTCCTCATATCTCCCTCTGTGACCATTATTTCTGTCCTTTATTCCCCATATCTCCCTCTGTGACCCTTATTTCTGTCCATTATTCCCCGTATCTCCCTCTGTGACCCATATTTCTGTCTTTTATTTCTCATATCTCCCTCTATGACCCTTATTTCTATCCTTTATTTCCCTTATCTCCCTTTGTGACCCTTATTTCTGTCCTTTATTCCCCACATCTCCCTCTGTGACCCTTATTTCTGTCCTTGATTCCCCATATCTGCCTCTGTGACCCTTATTTCTGTCCATTATTTCCCATATCTCCCTCTGTGACCCTTATTTCTGTCTTTTATTTCCCACATCTCCCTGTGACCCCTATTTCTGTCCTTCATTCCCCAAATCTCCCTCTGTGACCCTTTTCTTTGTCCTTTATTTCCCATATCTACCTCTGTGACCCTTTTCTTTGTCCTTTATTTCTCATATCTCCCTCTGTAACCCTTATTTCTATCCTTTTTTTCCCCATATCTCACCCTGTGACTCTTGTTGCTGTCCTCTATTCCCCATATCTCTCTCTGTGACCCTCATCTCTGTCCTTTATTTCCCATATCTCCCTCTGTGACCCTTGTCTCTGTCCTCTATTGCCCATATCTCCCTCTGTTACCCTTGTCTTTGTCTTTTCTTCCCCAAATCTCCCTCTGTGACCCTTTTCTTTGTCCTTTATTCCCCAAATCTCCCTCTGTGACCCTTTTCTTTGTCCTTTATTTCTCATATCTCCCTCTGTGACCCTTCTCTCTGTCCTCTATTTCCCATATCTTCCTCTGTAACCCTTATTTCTGTCCTTTATTCCCCATATCTCCCTCTGACCCTTATCTCTTGTCCTTTCCTTTAATCCCCATATCTCCCCTTGCGACCTTTATCTCTGTCCTCCATTCCCCATATCTCTCTCTGTGACCCCCATCTCTGTCCTTTATTTCCCTTATCTCCCTCTGTGACGCTTTTCTTTGTCCTTTATTCCCCATATCTCCCTCTGTGACCCTTTGTTATGTCTTTTATTACCCATATCACCCTCCGTGACCCTTGTCTCTGTCCTTTCATTCATTCCCTCATCCTTCCGCCTCTATTTTTATTAATAGCACAAGCAAATAGTAAGTGGGGTGTTTGTCTGAAACTCTTTGTCATTTAGCTGTCGCTTCCAGTCCTCCCATATTCGAGGATTTTCCACCGAGTAGGAAAGAAGTCAATGCAGAGGACGTGATAAGCTTACCGTGTCGTTCTAAACCTCCTCGGGTTTACCCAACCGTGCGGGACTGGCGGAAAGACGGGAAACCCCTTCTGGAGAAGGATATAACCTCCAATCGTATCACCTCACGTGGTGGGCAGCTGCTGATAAAATCAGCCACAAGGGAAGATAGTGGAAATTACACATGCAGTCTTGTTAACTGCGCAGGGAATGTTACTAGTAACAGCTCTCAAGTCATAGTCAAAGGTAAGTCTTTCTCTCATGGCTGATATTGTTTGTTAACGGTTTAGGTTTTTATTTTCGTAACGGGCAATAAATGCAACATTATTCTTTGTTCTTTTTGCTGTGGATCGAGATTTTTTACGAACGTATCTGTTGTGCCCAATGATGACTTGGTGCTGTATGAACAATATTAAACAGTTTTTTGGAAAGGATGCAGCGGTAAAATCAAAGAATGCATTCTCCCTCGTAGCCCTAAAATAAAGATGTCATGTGATCAGCTTCTCGTTTGGAGTTAAAATTCGTCATCCAGCAAGAAACCCCTTTGTTTCAACTCGTACATTGTTCTTCCTTTACAGAGGCGCCACGAATACTTGGAGTCGTGTCTACGAATGTCAGAAGGGGTGATGATGCAGTGTTGAGCTGTGTAGTGTCCAGTTTTCCTCCGAGCAATATAACGTGGAAGTTCAAAGGAAAGACTCTGAAATTCTCAGATCGTTTGGAGTTTTTAGACGACACCTATACTCTTAAAGTGAAGAAAGTGACGTTTGAAGAGGCGGGTTCTTACGAATGCTCTCTTACTAATGAACTAGGAGAGGCCCGTGCTAATGCTACCCTCACTGTGGGACGTAAGTATAATATTTGTTTTCACTATGTATTTTTCCGCTGGATTTTATTCTCTTTAACCGTCAGCAGAAGTAAACAAGTACACCAGCGGGTAGAAATCCTTCTCTTTAAAACTAACTCGCGAGTACAGATTTAATATAGGCATACGACCTTAGCCTAGTCGTAGTTTCCAAGTACACATGGCATTTAGGCAACATGGGGAAGCCTGGTATAGTGTCATTTACTTTCGATGGGGTGGGTATTGTTTGAAAAATCCACCGAATTACAAAGTGGTTTGCAACCTTTTGTAATCTTTTAATAGTTTTATTTTGAAACGTACTAGAAGCAGGTATCATACAAGAAAGTTGAATTTTTTTCTGGTAGGTAGAGCCTCACATGTACCCGTCTGAGAACACTCACCAAGAGATTGTGTGGTGTTCAACGGACTGTTTGAACAGATGTGAAGATTTAAGTCCATTTTCATTCCTTTATAGTGACTGTCATGTTCGAAGTATTTCCCACAAATACTGTCGGGAAAAAAGGGGCCACAGAAAAATTAGAGTGTAAAGTGACTGGAATTCCCACACCTAAAGTAGCTTGGAAGAAGGATGGTGAATTGTTAATGAATGCCAGTAAACACACCATCACTACAAATATCTCGGCTAAAAATACTGTTACAAGCCGGTTATTAATAAAGGACTTGAGCAAAGAAGACATTGGGATTTATTATTGTATATCATGGAATCGTGGCGGTATTGGACTCAAAGAGACGTCACTTTTGTTACGTGGTAAGTATCTTAAGCTTGTACAAAATTTGTTATCTTGGATCAGCACATACATCAAAGAGAGAGACTGTAAACTATTAAGCATTTAACCCCTCTCTCTTTAAGGAGAGAATTAGTAACCAGAGGTAAGTTAAGGTTAGAGTATTTTATAAATACTCTATGATTTGGGCAAGGGTGTTCAAATTTGTGAAATTCAGTGACGGCTGCTATTGCCTCAAAAGTACTTAACCGGGGTTATACCACTTGTTGTTGGTTATGATATAGAATGCACTCTTGTTTATCGCTATATTCACAAACAATGCTGGAAGCGTGTCAGTAATGTTATTTGTTTGTTAGTTTTTTTTTTATTTATGTACCTTTGCCCTGTATCTGATTCTTAGGTCCACCAATTATCACTATTCCTCCAAAGGACGTTCATATTCTATCAAATGCCAACGCTTCTTTCTTCTGTGTTGGCATGGGTTATCCAAATCCTTCGATGACGTGGGTCAAGGATTCTAAACCCATTCAGCAATCCACGAGAATTTTTAGCACAGACGACAATGCACTCTGGGTACTTAGTGCTACTGTCGATGATGTTGGAATGTACACCTGCGTGTATAAAAATAAATATGGCGAAGTGAGCGAATCAGCTTCCCTTTATGTGGATGGTATTGCGCCAGGAAAACGTAAGTCTACAACTTGAGGGATGGAATGAACTGGGTGAATTGGAGTAAGGGTTAGATTTGTGGGTGGGAAATTAATCGAGTCGAAGTAGAGTTTGGAAATGGGAAAGTAGAAAAGATGGAACAGAGTAGGATAGGATGGAGGCTGGTAGTTTCGAAAGAAACTGTTTGGGGCTGCGTCGGTGGGAGTAACGAAATAATTTGGATATATCAACAAAGTTGAAATGGTAAATTGGCCACCGTAATGATTACAAAAGCTGACATTTGAGCGTTAGCCCTTCGTAGGAGCCCTTCGTCGGAGACCTTCGTCGTTAGCCCTTCGTCGTTAGCCCTTCGTCGAGGCAGCGACGAAGGGCTAACGCTCGAAACGTCAGCTTTTCTAATCTTAACCGTGGTCAATTTACCATTTCAACTTTGTTGATATATCCAAATTATTAGGATATGATGGGATGGAAATGGGAAAGTAGAAAAGACGGAATGAAATAGGATGGGATAGAGAATGTTAGAGTAAGGTGGGGCACAGAAAAGTAAGTTGGGTTTGCTTTGGTAACCGTGGACAGTAGATACTATGGTGACAATGAAAATATGTTCCTTTAACGATTTTTTGTACGGTCGTAAGAATCTCGAAAAGACTGGATTTCCTTCTTGGTTTACTCAGTCTCTTTTTTCTTTTCAACCAGAAACCGTGTCGTCGTCTGTGGCGTCCAAGCAACCGATCTCAACTGGGAAAATAGTGGCTATTGTGGTGATTCTCGTTGTCATTATTGCTGTCATTGTTGGTATCGTGTTGTATCGCTACTGTCGATCACATGATCAGACCTTCAAGTTTTCAGTGAACAGTAGAACTCTGAAACCATCTCTCCGCTCACGGGTCAAGAATGCCATGGGAAAGAACCACTCCGCAAATCTGTACTACAATCACAGTCAAGATGGAATTAATTTTGACGACAGTAGACCGTTTGCGGACCAGGACGAACTCTGATGCGTATAATTTGAAGAGTTTAACAACTGTCACGCCAAGAGATTTACAAACGATATTTACGAATAAAGTTTTGCACCCTGTTGTCATAGAGAATGACAGCGAGCAACTTTGTATACGAAGTACTTGTTAATCAAACCCAGTTAATGAGCTTTGTGTAAAACTTCTTTAATGCGTCGGATGTAGGATCACATTAGCAATCAAATTTTATAATTAGGATATGATAAGGCGTGCTCTTGAGGTATTGGTTTCCTTGCCCTCTGAGGTAAAGTTGAAAAACTTTTAGGCTACACTAATTTTTTATCCCTGGGGGTGCAAAACTGCACCCCATGGATAACGACGAGTATTTGGGTACTATATGCTCTGGGCAGCAGACCCAACAGTTTTAAATTAAACGACACCCAGAAAGGAGAGGGTGAACCTTCGGAAGAAAAGGTTGAGCAAGAGTTAATAATGCTTGTGAATGGGACAGAAAATCCCAGGAGTATAGGAACACTGTGCTACAGCTAGTAAAGGGTTTACACTGATATACGGTGATCCGAGAGAATTTTTTTTTTTTTGAAAGATTAGGGTGTCTTAATTTTCACCAAGACATGTTATCTTTAGCACAGATAACCGCATTATATCATGTTTTATCGATAGCTGCGTTGCCAGTTATTAAACCATTGTTATATAAATGGAAGATTATCATGAGGTATTCACAAGATTTTATTCAGAGACTCGCAGTTCATGTTCACAAATGACCGCTTTTGATTATGTCACATTTGCGGGATTTTTTTTTCAATTTTACAAGTTTTTCTGACAGCTTATTTCAGATTTCCTCTTTTTTATGGTAACGCGCAACTCGTTGACAGCGTTACTGTAAACGTTGGCCATGTCCATAAATCTCCCGTAACGCACTGAGGTCCCATTTTCCTCGAAGTAGAACTTACCAGACGAGTGACTCCTGCATGCGTTGCAAGTCAAATAGCGGTCATCACGAGCATTAAGTATCTGGTTAAAAAAATATATTCTTTAACACATTTAACATTGTTCATACCAGCAGAGCGATATGATTGTTTGTTTTCCTCCAACAATCCCGTTTGTTCTGTGTTTGAACATATGACAAAAGAATATAAACGCCCAAGTTTTTAGGGAGAATTTCTTTTAGGGAGAATTTCTTTTAGGGAAAATCCCGTAAGTCGAGTTAATTATGGTTAATTATGGTTAATGATGTCTAATGTTAGATTTTAACTGTTGTGTAAAAATTTATCACTGCCATTTTTGAAATTAGACTGTTTTTGACATCATAACTGTTTAACTTTTTGTTAGACTCCCAAGGGGATCACTACTTATTTAGTCCCTATTTTTTAAATGGGTCTCGAAAAGTTTACGTGGGTTTAAAGTTCGTGGAAGTTTTTTCTGTGATGCATTTGCATGTCTGCATGAGTACATTGAAGAGCAAGCCAACAGAAGGCCTGGGTGCTCCTTCGTATCCTTATAAAGCGAGATGCCTGGGTTCGAGTGTGATTAAAAATGGCGGAAACTTCGACTTAGTGGAGTAACAATTGACTTTTATTTTGCTGATCTTATATTCCTTTAATTATGTTTGAATCACTGTGTTTTTGATTAATTAAGAACAATTTACCCAAATGTCTCGAAATAAAGTGAATAAATCGTCGAAGACAGGCGGATTTGGATCGGTGCAGAATAGGGTGAATTCTATTTCTCGAAGGGTAAGCTTGAGAAGATGCGATGTTTACTGTAAATTTGATGTTAACGTGGTCTGATCTCACACTATATTTACAAGACAGTAATTCATTGCTTTTCCTTGATCAAAACATAGTTTGCAATACGTTGATTTAAGTAATTTGATTTCAAATTCATATTTGAGGTTGATGAATTTAACGATCGTTTGGATGGTTCATCGTCAATTACATCACCAGAGAGAAAGGACAATTATGACAAGTGGGTACTACATTGATATTTTCAAGTAATTAAGTTATCACAATCTGGATGGAGCTATCCTCAATAAAAACCCTAAATGGTAGTATGACCACTTGTTGAGCACTCTTTGTCACAGCTACTGCCATTGCTTAGAGCTGTGAGGGTCAGCTGTAGATGTGTAGCAACTGAAGTTTGAATCTTGAAAAAAATAAATGTTGGTAGTTGTCCTTTAGTAGCATGTTTATTAAGTTGAAGACTCTATTGAGGCCATAAGCTACTGTATTTCTCTTTTTTCCAATCTTTTGCCCATCTATGGCAATTGTCAGGGAAGTTAAAGGAGCACTCTGATGAAACCACCCTATAATTTGAAAACCCAAAAAATTCAATTATTTCATTATCATATGAATTTTTAGTGATTAGTAAAGCCTTTTGAATAATAATTTTAGTTGAAAGTCAATTCTAGGGCGAGAAATTACGATTTGAAAACCGTTCCGCCATTAATTTTCGTAATCACGGCCAACTTATCTTCGGTCAGCGGTCACTCCCATTGTGACGTAGATTACTCAACACACTTTTATATTTATACGGAAACCTCGTGAAATTTAGTGAAATAGTCTTAGTCTTGGTGTTATAAAAAGCAATATATACGATCAAAATACTGGTTTTGAAAATTAGCCACGATCAGGGTGTGTCAAATGAGTAATCTACGTCATGATCACTCCCATTGTGACGTAGATTACTCAACACACTTTAATATTTATACGGAAACCTCATGAAATTTAGTGAAATAGTCTTAGTTTTAGTGTTATAAAAAGCAATATAGACGATCAAAATACTGTTTTTGAAAATTAGCAACGAGCACGGCGCGTCAAATGAGTAATCTCCAAACTCGTGCCAGTCTTCTTGAGCCTGCGAAGTGATTACAAAAATTAATGGCCGAATGGTTTTCAAATCGTAATTTCTCGCCCTAGAATTGACTTTCAACTAAAATTATTATTGAAAAGGCTTTATTAATCACTAAAAATTCATATTATAATGAAATAACTGACTTTTTCGCATTTTCAGATTATTGGGTGGTTTCATCAGAGTGCTCCTTTTAAAGAAAATTGAATATTCTACTTGAAAAAAAAAAAAAAAATTCAAGGCAAAGACGGGGTAGGGCAAGACTCAAGTCTCCTAGTTTGGTGCAGTGCCTATCCGAGACAGTTGAATTTATACCTAACCTAAATTTACTTATAGATTTCTTAATTATTGCTTCACATTAGAATATTATTGACAATTTCATGAAAAATTAGTGTTTGAAAGTTATTGTTTGTGATGGGTAAAGATTATCATTTAAAGTGGCTGAACACAGTTTTTGGTACCTGTGTTTCTTTCACCATTTTCTCTAAAACCCTTGATCTCTCGGTCACCAAAACTGGCAGCAAGCAAGTTAACAACACAAACTTTGTTTTTTCGATAGGTAAGCTGATGTATGTGCCATTGCCATGGCGACATGAATAAATTATAAACAGGCAATTAAAATCAGTTTTGTTTGTATAAAATCTAGTCATTAGATTTCCTTTATAATTTGTATGCTACGAGCTTGTAACAGTACTCACAAGTTATAACACCATTTTATGAACAATTTAACAGAGAGATCTTTAATTGTCCTTTGTTGAAGGTTCACTTGATTATCTAGAATTTCCTTTGTTTAACATTAATTTTTTTCGATACTCCAGTTACTTATTTCCTAAAGTATTTTCGTGCCAAATATCTTGAATTCTAATGAGTGGTTCTCAAGAAATAGGCATATTTCTAAGAGAGCAATTTTCCATTCAATCCCAATTTTTTTACTTACTATCCATGTGTTGCATTTGACTGGGTTCTTTCGGTAATGACGAAAAAGCTGAGAACTGCTGTGTTCTTTGCACCGTTAACTTTTCGAACATATCTTTGTAATAAAAGATTAAAGCCAACTATAGAGAAAAATAGCACTGATAGTGAGGGTATGTGTTAAGTCAATAAAATGACGGCTCTATTGACGGCATGTTTGTTTTTTGGAATCCTTGAGTGCGTGCTGAATTGCATCAGCAAACGCTTCCATGAAAACTGTGTACGGCCACCTTAAGAAAAATGTGTGAATGAATGTGGCATCCATGAAATTTTTCATGGATTACCTTAGTTTATATGAGATCCAAATGAAAATTTAAAACTACACAAAGTTTTACAAATTCTATGTGAAAAATTGTATCTGCTACATATGAAATGTGAGATTTGTAATTTTGCTGGGTGAATTCTCTTCTTTCAGCTGTGAACACTTAAGGGCAGAAATTGAAGAACTGTCCAGTCAGCTCTCTAGCCTTTCCAAGGTGTGGAATCAAGTTTCTTTACTTTTGTCGTCATGTTGAATTATCATCATCATCATCATCATTATCATCATCATTTTTATTATTTTAGCTTTTGAATAGTATGTCTGCTGTGATTACTCTGGTGTAAAAAAGGTTTTAAAATACTGGTATGGTTTACTTTGTAATCATATGATATTATATGGCAAGTCATGAAGAGGTTAGACAACCCAGTCTTGATAGGTCTTTTCTTTGATATTAAGTCTGTTTCTGTCATGCTAAGGCAACAACCTTTAGAAACTAAACTGGTTCAAGATTAATTTAGTCATGCAATCAAACAAGCTAAACTTAATTAAGGCATCATTTCATGAATTATTATGCCTTGGTCTGATTGGTAGATTTTTTGAGAGCTGTGATTGGCACATCAACATTACATATTTGCCTAGTGTTTTACTGCTGAATTGCCCTCAAATTGTTATGTTTCTTCATCGTGGGAAAACATGATTCTAGCATTTACCATGAACTGTCTCTGTTGATGTTGGCCTTGTGTTGCATAAAGAGACCTGACTGTGGTTGTGATAGAGACTACCATCAGCTTGGTTTAGTTACTGATATCAGTGTAGTTTGTAGTTAAGACTTTTTTTTCTCTTAATCATCATGTTGTCAGGCTGATAATGAGGGCTCTTCACAAGATTTTAATCTACTGAAAAGGAAAGAACAACAAAAGCTGGAAAATTTGAAGGTACTGACAGAAAAAAACTATTTTACAAAATCTTAACACTACAGATCATATTTATTTTGAGGTATTTACGAAGTTATACTTACAAACATCATAGAGCACTGGTTAGGTGGCTCCTGTATTGTCAAAAGTGTGATAATTTACAATTATCTGTTCTGCCCCTAAATATGGTTGAGATGCTGGGGTTAAATTTTGCCTTCTCCCCACCTTTTGGATAATCCTGTAAATGCCAGTGCCATCACATAACTTAGCAAGTACTCCAGAGATATTAGAAAAAGAAGCTCCTTTTCAAGTAAATATGAGGGAAAATGTCTTAGATGTGTTTTGTATTGAGTTTCTGGACAACTCTGAGAAAAGCTGCAGCATTGTTTGTTTATCAAGTTTGGTATCAAGCCTCATCTATGACCTTACCAACAAGTTCTTTAGGCTTTGGTCCAACAAATTCTGAAGTTTGAGGCTTGATTCCTCAAGGGGAACTCACATGTTTCTTCGTCACACACTCATGACTAGATGACAAAACGATCAGCATTTTTATTTACAACTCATCTTTTGTCATTGTTGACACAGCGCTGTAATCATTATTTTTTAACGGCCAGTTGTCGTCTTTTGCTACGTTCCAAAGGAAGCGACTAGAACTTAAACCAAAACCGTCGTTAATAACAAAAAACGTAAACTCATTATGAGCTAACCAGAACTGACGTCATTTGCTCTGCGCGGGAAAACATAATTGACGTATCGCGAGTGTTTGGTTTTATTGTCGTATATTTGATTGGTTGACAAACAAGCGCCTGCTTTCGGGACCAATCACAGCTCAACTTATGACAAAAAGAAATTTACTTCAACTTAATTTCGACCCTCATATTGAAGCCACTCGAAAGATCAAGAATTCAAAAAGCATTAACGATAATAAATTTCCTGAGGTAGAATTTGTTTTTGAAAACACCTGCGAAGCTCTAAGGCGACAGCTTGAGCAAATCGAACTAACATCTCAAACGGTGTCAATTGTTGTTGTGCTGTACCAAAATACGATTTAAATTCGTTTTAACCAATTTTTTTGGGGAGTACCGCCAGAAACATTTAGAGCTTTAGTTACTTTTTGACAACAAACTGTTTGCATGTATTTATCAAGAAGCAATATCTTCAGCTGATATCCTTTAGCAAGCTTTCAGCAGTGGTAACTCAATGTTAAGGAGCTTTTACAACCACATGAAGTGAGGATTATTTCTTAGAAGAAGGGCAATGCAAAAGTCTTTGTTTCACACTTACGAGGTTTGCAAGATTCAGTGTTTAAACTAAAGGCGTAACGTAAATTCAAACGACCTGCAATGTATTACCCACAAGATATTTTAATAGATAAAGGTGCATTCGTTCCATGCTTATAGGAAATAGCCTTTTGTTTTTCTTCTTACCTTACGACTTTCGATTAACCTGTGTCTTATCAAAGTCTTCTAAATGTAACGTTTAATGCCATGTGGCACAATAAACATCTTTAACTGAACGCTTGGAAGTTTCCGTCAACGAACTCCTTCATCCGCTATTTAAACGCTTGCGTTTTTGTCCGAAATATTTTATTCTTAATTCCGGTTAACTTCATGACTGCTTTGCTGAGCGTTTACGTTTTCGTTGAAGAAACACGAGTACACTTCGATATGATTTTCAATATTTTAGCGAAAATCTTCACACTGAAGATAAACTGATGTGAGAAGGTTCGTACCGGTCTAGTAAAATCTTTCAAATGTGGGAAAGGTTTATTTTGTCGTTATATTTCACCGAATTGCATTTAAAAATGTTATATTTATTATCATAAAACCAACGAAAGCGGAAACTAACACAGCCTTTGCATAATTAATGTGCCTTTTCTAACCTGTGTACTTAATTAAACTGAGAAATATGCCAATTAGCAAGCATCGAATAATTCGGCATTAGAAAAACATTGAAATACGTACGTTGATTGTTTATTGAGTCGAACAAAGAAGATGTTTACAACAAAGTTGGAATGCGTTGCTAAGAAATGTGGTAATTGTTCTTCTGCTGGAGTGATGTCGCCACAAATGATGTAAGACCTTCGGAGGATTTTTTCAAGCGTAACGGAACTGTTTTGGTTCTTGTTTTTTGTTTCGCAGAGCAAACTGGACAGAATATCTGAACAGCTTGAACCCGATGAAGTCGAAGAGGATTATTTCAGGTATGGCAAACATGTTGATTTAGACATGCAAATGAATAGATCAAAACACAAGGCTTTTGTTTTCTTTCCTCCTACTCAACGAACTCAGCCGACCTTAAATAGACTTCTGAAATTCTTTGTCAGTTGATGTATGTCGGAGCAATTTGAAGCAATATTTGGCCATCCGTATCCTTTCTGGGGTATTTTAAAGTAGTCCGCTATTTCGAGTATATGCTTTTTGCGTTTTAACTTGTGTCATAAACATAATTTCCTAAACGCTGAACAGGGTTTATTATTGTCATTATGAAACAAGAAAAGTAATTAGAATGGTTTATTATAGCATGCATCAAGAACACAAGATTACCTTAAGGGCTAAAATTCACCAAAAAGGATTAACGGAATCGCGATTGAATATCTCAACGAACGTCTGTATTCAATCAAAAAATTGAAAAAAAAAATACTGTTGGTCCCTTTGAAACACTTTCTCAGAGCATCTCTGGAGTGATTAATCTTGGATGAAATAAGTTGCTGGTCCTCATTTAGTGTCCATGATGATGATAACGAATTTAATTTTGTTAACTTTTCAGAAAGATGCAAGAAGGTGATGTTGGTGCCTCCAACAGTGACTTGCTGACGGACAAAGCTGATGATGATGACACGCGCATGCCCGATAGGTGACTGTCTCAATACAATATACTCTGGAACGCACCTATAAGGCAATACTTGATCATTGGATGGTTTGACTACGAGCTGTCCCTTCTTTTCGTCTAAGTCCTTGCTGCGAGTAAAAAAAGAAAAAAAAAAAAAAACAGCGAAAAAAATTATGTCAGCGCGCCGCGGGGAGCTCTTAGATAGAGTGAGGCGCTCGACGAGTAGGCAGAAAGGACTGCTCGCAGTCAATTGAATGATCGATCAATATGACAAACAGCAGCTGGATGAAAGTGGAATACTGACTGGATCGCTTGGGCGCGTTCTGCTTTGATGGATTGCCTTGAAAACTTCAAAGAGCGATCTTGATGCAAATTTCACAATGAAATTTGAATTATACACCTAACTACTAAATGTTTTCATTTTCTTCCATTTATCATGTTTTTTTTTTTCCTTCACTATCTTAAAGTGAAGACGACGATGAAGATGAAGATGATGAAAGTGAGGAGGACACTACCTCCAACGTTGTTATGGTGGGTAATTTTAGATCTGGAGGTTGTAATCTTAACAGTTTTCCCACAAGAAATTATAAAATTCGAATAGTCAAGGATCGGTGACATAAGGAGCCAGCAGGACATACAAATTTGCGGCATCCGTTAGAGGATGATGAAGGTAATGCACCTTCTTGATGGAACCCATCTAATCGTATCAGCTGATCAGTCCTGAATTTGTTTCTCTGAAATTCACGTAGGTCCGCAAGGTCCAGGCACTGAGCGATTTCACAGGCGAGCAGGATGGCGATCTCAGCTTTAAGAAGGGAGAAATTCTAACAGTCATAAAAACAAGGTACAGTCGTAGCCATTATAAGTTACACTCAATCTACCCTGAGGTCTAGAGGAGGAACGTTAGACTTCAGGGGAGGGGAGCTGTATTATGTTGCATGGTCGAGCTACAAATGTGTGTCCTTTTAATTACATACTCATGCGCACCAAATATAGCGAGGGACACATGTTATGCCTTTGGTTTCGTTACCGAGGTAATGTATATACATTGGCAAGACGATACCTATTTAAGTCGAACGAATTTTTTGTGAAATATTTGTCTGCAGGAAATCAGAAAAAAAAAAAGGTAAATAAAATGGACCTGGTTACTGTCTCGATCACTTCAGAGATAAAACTCGATAGCGTGAAAGTAAAAATTGGTCATTATTCGACTTGAGTTTAAATTCAGTGATCAATGTGACTTGAGCTTTTATTTTTGTCTCTTTTGTAAATATCAGTGAGGATGGGTGGTGGGAAGCAGAAAACGCTGCGGGCAAGCTAGGTGTTGTCCCCAAAACTCTTCTCAAGGTAATCAGTTGTTTTCTTTTTCTATGTAAACAACAGCAGCAGTGGTAATGGTACATAAACAACAACCATTGGCAACAATGACCGCTGCAATCGAATTTGAAAATCCTGTGGATTTACTCTCGTCTATCATTTTGGTGGATATTTTCGTGTTTTTGTTTGTATTTTACAATATTTCACTTCGTTTGATTTATTTTTATCCTGTTTAGATTATCGAAGAAAACGAAGAAACCTCGCCAGAGAAACATAGGGTTGAGAAATCTGCTGAAATCGAGAATGGTATGGTTAGTTTTGCAATGAGAATCTAGGGATCCGAAAACATTTCGGATAGGTGTGTACAAACGAAACCTTCTCCTTTTACTCCACAAAAGCATTCACAGAATCTAGTCATTGCAGACAAGCTTTTTTTTCTACCTGACTCTCGGCCTCTTTCGTTTTGTAGGAAAGGCTTCTTTGATTCACCTTTATAAATTTGAGTTGTAAAGGTACTTATTAAAACCAAAAGAACAACAATTCAGGTTTGATCATATTTTCTTTTCGTTGTCAGTTGCAGAGTCAGCAAGTAAAGTTTCGGAGTTTTCCACCAGGAAAAGAAGGTGAAGAAGTGATTATGACTTTGATAACAACTTTGCTATCCAAAGCTGATCTTAAATTATACGAGTTGGTGAAACGGGAAATATTGATTCAAATTTTCTCGATGAGTTGAGGAATTTCGTCAGAATACACAACCTCCAAGACTGCAAATTTGCTTCTTCCAAGCGTTCAGTCAGTAAACAGGGTACGGGAGACAGCCTGTTCCAATACTTCCTCCTTTTTTGCCTTGCGATGACGTCGCTTTCCATTTTCCAACTGAACACCTGGGAAAGGCTAAGTGTAAGTGCAAGACAGATACACCAGCATATCCACCAAAAGACCTAGTGAGGGTGATATCCATCAGCATAGACCTGGTAAGGTTGATATCCACCGTAAGACCTAGTGAGGTTGATATCCACCAAAAGACCTAGTGAGGTTGATATCCACCAGCATAGACCTGGTGAGGTTGATATCCACCAAAAGACCTGGTGAGGTTGATATCCACCAGAATAGACCTAGTGAGGTTGATATCCACCGGCATAGACCAAGTGAGGTTGATCTCGACCAGCATAGACCTTGTGAGGTTGATATCCAGTGGCATAGACCTAGTGAGGTTGACTTGTTTAACCAACTTGAATTTTATCCTTTTGGGATTTTTCCAGTGGATTGGATTTGTGGAAAAGTCTAGCCAGAGGTTCTACTCAACAGGTATTAATTCTGTTTTGCGCTGTAATTTGTTAGTGTGTTTTTAATTTATTTTGTTTAGTTTTGTTCTTAACATTGTATTATTGATGAATGTTCTCCAGGGATTGGTGTTAAGAAATAGATTATCTGGAAAACGCAACTCAATCCGAGCTTCAAACTAGACGACCAACAATCACAATAGTTTTTCGTGCCTTGATGCATTTAAAGAGCATGCGCATATTTTTCAAACTGGTTGTTGGCTTTACAGGTAGCTACGATGAGAGTGAATGAAGATCCGGTTTGTAGAATAAGTGCCTCTTAGCTTTCCCTTCACCATCAGTTTCCAGTGTCTCTCTGTTTGGTGTACCAGCTGGCTCTGATCAGTTACAACTGTGTAAATACCAAGCCGTATAAACTAAACTCTTTAAAAGGTTCCGTTGTTCTTTTGAGGAAAGGCGATCATTTTTATTTCCTATCAAATGGTGTTTAGGTCTATCAAGGCAATTGTCGTAAGTTTACGTCAAATGAAAGCTGGTTTTCCATCTTGTTTAAAAAAAAAAGAAATTACAGCTCTCCGCTCCTGTTTAAAGTGCGCGTGACACGCTTAATTGTGACGTTGCTTTTTTTAGCTCAATTTCAAAACAAAAGGTTTGTATCTCTTCTCCCTTTTCGTCGGCTGCTTTTGTGGAGCTGAAGTTGGCTTTGTCTTCAAGTATGGCAAACGGCGCTACAATTTATAAGTTTAAAGAGGTATTTTAGCGCTCTTTAAATTGGTTTTGCGTTTTCTTCTGCTTAATACAACCTCTCTACTTTACGGTACAAGATTTAGATTCACAGGAGGAATTCGATTAATTGTTAGACTGATGGCAGTAACATTTATTTATGAAGACAGCTTTCGCCTTCTCTTTTTTATTCTTTCCAGCTTATTCAGTTCGTATTGATGTTTTCTATTTAATTGGTCTAAAAGCGAGTCCAATTTTCGTTTAGTTTGTCGTGACATTTTGCTGCGAATGGGATCAGTAGCCAAACGATGCTGCCATCTTTGCAACAGACATTGGATAGATTTTATTCGTTAAAATCGGACAGTACGACATTCAGCCAGTGAAAGTAATTGGTTATATTTATTCCGAGCAAAATTCGTCTTTTGTAGTAGTGTCGGCTGCCTCTCTGGAATAAAACGTTGGTAAAATAAACAATTCACGATTGTCTGTATGAATTTAAACATATGTAAAAACCCAATACAGAACTAACAATTTTCAAAGTAGTAGATAGTATGTCCCGTTCTACAGAAAATAATTGTTAGAATGGCTTTGCTTGGGCCGAAGTAAGTACCAGTTCTAAAAGATACAAAACAGAATATTTGTCCAGTTATTATTTCAACAACCCGTTGTCTTGATCTGGTTGCTCATTTCTGTAGCGTGTAACTTGTTCTGCAATAATATGTCGTACAATATATATATTTTTTTTTTTGCTAATTTTGCTTATGACCTTGGTGAATAAGATTATGCAGGCGACCTATGTGAATAGCTTTTGAATTCCAAATGAGGGTTTATAATATGTGTCCTTTAAAATATGTGTCCTTATAATATGTGTCCTGTCGATGTGTCCTTGTCATTGACAATGACAAGGACACATCGAAACCAGTCGCTACGCATTTTAATTTACCTAATCATTCTAAGCAACATATGGCAATCTGCGGTCTTTCCTTACACTTAGGTAGCAAGGAAAGCCGTAAAAATCTTGAACGAAAGCTCATCTTTCAAATCGGCAGTCTAAATCCCACAGGGATCAACGAACGCTTTTCATTCCACTAATTTATTCTTGTTTTTCTCGTTGCCATGTTCCCACCAATAACGTAGCTCCATTTTCTGCCTTTAAAAGCACACACAACCCACAATTCCTCTATTCGCTCCGACGAAGGGCTAACGCTCGAAACGTCAGCTTTTGTAATCGTTACGGTGGCCAATTTACCATTTCAACTTTGTTGATATATCCAAATTATTTCGTTACCCCCACCGACGCAGCCCCAAACAGTTTCTTTCGAACCTATCAGCCTTTGTTATTTTAAGTGTTGCGTTTGCGTGACTTTTATGTCACACTGATCCGGGGCACCCTGAAACTAACAATCCAGCTCAATACCCTTCCAGCTGCCGTTGGACTTTGGACTTTCACAAAACAAAAGGAAAAACTAGAAAATAAAAACACGTGAAAAAATGAATCTGACTGTGAATGTGATTTCCTCATCTCAGGCAAGTGCTACAGACGTCTTGAAAGCCATGGGTGCCATGCCAAGTGGTTTCAGATCAACAACGCTTGGAAAACTGGCTAAAGAAGGTAAGTTCCTTTTAAGCAAATTCCCTGAGTTTAAAATTTTGATTTCTGTGAGATGTTGCTTCACATGTCACTGACAAAAGCATCTAGTTTGTCATAGCGAAGTAGTTATCTGAGGCTGCGTGGCAATACGAGAATTTCTGTTATCTTTAGTAAAGTAAAGTAAAGTAATGTAAAAGGCTTTATTTAGAGAGAGTAAAAACACTCAACAGTAGCCCTAAGACACTGATGACTCTGTGGCCCTCAAAACAATTACAACTATAGATGCTACAACTAATAACTATGAAATATACCATATTCAAAAAAGACGAGATTTAAGAATTGTTTCGTGCTTAGCCTGCGTATATCGAGTTATGGATGCACGCGGGGAGTTTGGAGAGCACGAGAGCAGAATACACAACCTCCAAGACTGCAAATTTGC